ACCCCCAATGTCAGAATGTCCGCCACAGTCCCCGCCATAAGTCACTGATCGCCGCCATAATTCGCTGATCGACGCCATTAGTATAAAAAAAAAACTAAAAATCCCAGTATCTTTCCCGCCATTTGTAAACGCTATAACTTTCACGTAAACCAATTAATTTACATGTATTGGGCTTTTTTTTTTTTTTTTTTTAGCAAAGACATGTCGCAGAATACATTTTGGCAGAAATTTATGACTAAATTAGATTTTTTTTTTTTTTTTTTTTTTACTGGACACGTTTTATAGCAAAAAGTCCAAAATATGCTTTTTTTTTTTCCTCAAAATTGTCAGCCTTTTTTTTTTATAGCGCAAAAAATAAAAACCGCACAGGCAATTAAATACCACCAAAAGAAAGCTCAATTTGTGGGGAAAAAAAGATGTAAATTTCATTTATGTACCGTATTGCATGACCGCGCAATTGTTCGTTAAACTAGCGCAGTGCTGTATAGCAGAAAAATGGTGTAAATTGCAGTATCTATACCATAGTTTGTAGACGCTATAACTTCCACACAAAGCAATCAATATACACTTATTGGGATTTTTTTTTTACCAAAAACATGGAGCAGAATACATTTTGGCCTAAATTTATAACCAACTTTGAGATTACTATATATTTTTTATAGCTAAAAGTAAAAAATATTGTTTTTCTTCAAAATTTTTGGCTTTTTTTTTGTTTATAGCGTGAAAAATAAAAAGCGCACAGGTAATCAAATTACACCAAAAGAAAGCTCTACTTGTGTGAGAAAAAAAGGACATAAATTTCGTTTGGGTGCAGCATTGCATGACCGCGCAATTATCAGTTGAATTAGTGCAGCGCCGAGTAGCAAAAAGAGGCCTGGTCATTAAGGGGGGTAAATCCTCAGGAGCTCAAGTGGTTAAACACTGAGAAATGGCAAGGCATGTATTGAATGCTGTGTGACCAGAAACAATAGCCTGCCTGTCCCCTTTTAGGGAATAGGGACAAGCTAGGTTAGTGAATACATGGACATAATCAATCAATCGGCCATGACACTACAAACTGCAGCCACAACATGGACGTCCATCATTACAAGGTCAAACAAACGACCCAGGGAATATAACTGCACTAATACCTACTGTAGTTAAACAAAAACATTTGAAAGTGTACAAGACCTTTAATAATGCCAAAGGATAATTCTATTTTGGGTTTTTAGTCCACCAGCCAGTATATTGAGATTGGAGTCTTGGTTGGACCATACATTGTCCAATGAGAAATGTCCTTGTGACAGATGCTTGGGATCCCTTGGCCGCTCTGCTGTTGCTGAAGAACACATTGATCTGCTATGGGGCACACTATATACAGATGCCTCCAGGAGATACATTGACTGTAGTTGTCCCTTCATGTGGAAAGTAACATCCAGAGGTAATAATAAGAAACAATATATGTGAAAAAAAAAAAAAAAAAACAACACACTGATCCATTTAAACTCCTGGTATTCCAGAATAAATTGCTGCTGCTTCAGATATTGTTTAGGAAAGCCCTGGGAGAGAAAAATCAACAAAATGTTATTTTTATGGAAGGATTAAACATTCAAGGAAGGAGGTCATGCTTCAAGCTACAAAGTCCAGGCAAAGGAGGCCAATACACAGATGAAATACATACGTGGGAGCTGCCGAAGGACTTGTCATTCTGTCCATCCTGTCCTGAGATTTACACAGCCAGGTGTATGACACCACTTATCAGTAAGGAATACATAGGTTTCCTCTCTTCAAACCCTCACCTGTGTTGACTGGCCAATGAAAGAGCAGCAGAAGACTGATGAAATAATCCCTCTACTCTTACATTTTTTTTTGTGAACACAATCGAATATATAGCTGCAATTTCTACATCTCCTAGTCTGAGTGCTGCTGTGTAGGGGCCTGGAAGAAGCTCATACCAAGTCAAAAATAAGGTATTTGCATTAAAACAAAAAAAATGATTAGGGCTCATTTACACTTCCTTCAAATATAACACGCATCAAAGTGCTTTTCTGAAGCTTGGCAAATGCCCTGTGTGCGTGTTTTGATTTTTAATTTGTTTTTAAGGGGCCCAGCAGATTCCCAGCTCATTAGTACCCCATTCAGCAGATCTCCAGCTCATTGGTACCCTCAATCAGCAGATCCCCTGCTCAGTAGTACCCCCAGCTTTGCTGATGCTACACTCAGTAGTATCCCCCAGCTCTGCTGATTCCCCTCGTTTAGTAGTAACCCCCAGCTCTGCTGATTCCCCTCATTCAGTAGTAACCCCCCGGCTCTGCTGATTCCCCTCGCTCTGTAGTAACCTCCAGCTCTGCTGATCCTTCCCATTCAGCAGTAACCCCTAGCTCTGCTGATCCCCTGCTGAGTAGTAACCCCCGGCTCTGCTGATTCCCCTCGTTCAGTAGTAACCCCCGGCTCTGCTGATTCCCCTCGTTCAGTAGTAACCCCCCGGCTCTGCTGATTCCCCTCGTTCAGTAGTAACCCCCCGGCTCTGCTGATTCCCCTCGTTCAGTAGTAACCCCCAGCTCTGCTGATCCTTCCCATTTAGCAGTAACCCCCAGCTCTGCTGATCCCCTGCTCAGTAGTAACCCCCGGCTCTGCTGATTCCCCTCGTTCAGTAGTAACCCCCGGCTCTGCTGATTCCCCTCATTCAGCAGTAACCCCCAGCTCTGCTGATCCTTCCCATTCAGCAGTAACCCCTAGCTCTGCTGATCCCCTGCTGAGTAGTAACCCCTGGCTCTGCTGATTCCCCTCGTTCAGTAGTAACCCCGGCTCTGCTGATTCCCCTCGTTCAGTAGTAGTAACCCCCCGGCTCTGCTGATTCCCCTCGTTCAGTAGTAACCCCCCGGCTCTGCTGATTCCCCTCGTTCAGTAGTAACCCCCAGCTCTGCTGATCCTTCCCATTTAGCAGTAACCCCCAGCTCTGCTGATCCCCTGCTCAGTAGTAACCCCCGGCTCTGCTGATTCCCCTCGTTCAGTAGTAACCCCCGGCTCTGCTGATTCCCCTCATTCAGCAGTAACCCCCAGCTCTGCTGATCCTTCCCATTCAGCAGTAACCCCCAGCTCTGCTGATCCTCCTGTCTCTCCAGTCCATGCTCACCTCACCAGACACTTCCAGATTATATACACATGAACCGGAAGTGATTGCTAATGATGTCTTTCCATATCGCTTGTTGGTTTCCCAGTGCATCCTGGGATATCTCATACCTGCAATACTCCCAAAACAAAGCAAAGCTGAAAAAAGCCTCTTAAAAGCTGCATGTGCTGTAAGTGAGCTTTGTCATAGACTTCGATGGAGGCTTTGAAGCCCCAAGACCGCAACATGGGGTATACATTTTAAAGGCAAGTAAACATAACGTGTGAACAGGACTGTAAGCTAACCATTTTATTTAGTGATGGGGGATTAAATGAGCATTCAGAACCCTTACAAAAAAAAAACATGTCCAATGCCACATTTTGAAGCAAGTGTAAACAAGTCCCTACAGAGCTGCATCATTGTATCCTATATCTGCCTGGAGTTCAGCTTTATTATGGACCTGTTAAATTATTAGTCATTTGATCTCTGCTAAAACGAAGGACTGGACAGCAGAGGCAGTGAAATACCTCTATTTCATTGTGCGGCCACAGGGGGGCTGCTTCTGCTTGGCACTGAGGAACCCAAGAGCAGGGGCCAATGCTAAGGCAGTACAGCTGGCCCTCTTGTACCAAGCCTGGGCCCCATCAGTTCAGAAGGGGGTATGGGCACTGGCCAAGCAGAAGGGCCGGCTGTACAGCCTTGTGATTCTGGTGCCTCCCCCTGCAGCGCTGCTGGCTTTCTCCCTCTGGCAGGGGTATCAGTTCCACTATCTAAACCCCTTCCACGTGCTGTTGGACCCTTCCTCCCCACCAGTACTGCCAGATTCCCCCTCTTTAATCTCCAGCTGGCAGCTGCTGAGGGCACACAGGTGGATCGCTAAGTACTGTATGCCATATTTACCGGCCTTCCTTTCCTGAGTGAACACAGTGAGCGATCAGTACCAATCTCTCCTGAGTACATTCATCATTGAGCCATAGTAAACTGTTTTTACTATGCTTCAGTTTGTAAATGAACAGGAATCCTCAGATTGCTTCCTATTCATTCATCTGTGCATCTGAGGCTGAATCTATGTCCTCAGTCCATTTCTCTGTCTCAAATGTTAGACATCAGGGGTCTGTTTAGACCCCTGATATATCACCAAAGCCCCCAACCGAGCAGTGTAAAATAAATAAATAATACACTTTAAAATGTTAAAAAATAATAATAATACAAAAAAAAATTAGGGGTTCATACACATGTGCTTTGCTGTCTGAAGAGTAGTCAGCATTTGACAGGTGGTGACCACTTGCTTTAACCCTGTACACGTGGTCAAAGATGGTATCATTTCTGCCACGGCTGCAAAACGTAGTATCGCGGCTCTGGCATTATAGCAAAAATATAATTTGATATTTTCTGGGAGGGTGGGGGGCCCTTTCAGGTAGCTGTGACTTCTAACAGCAGCCCTGTCAATGAGCATCATGAACAGTAGGACCGGCTGCATCCAAAGACTTGTAAAGTAGCCTCTGAATTATCCACTCCGCACAAAATAGATTTACCCCCCGGCCACATCAAGCCCGACTTTGAAATCATGTGACTTACAGTGAAGTCGCACGATTTCAAAGTCGGGGAACATACCGTTTTCAGGTGCGATTTGCAAGAAATCTGACACAGATGTCTGCAAATCGCACCAAAAGTAGTTCATGCACTACTAGAGATCGGTGCGGCTCCGACCAAGTCAGAACCGCACCGATATGACCGCTGTAATTGCGGACAATAGGGTGCGACTTGGCATACAATTTGCAAGTCCCATGGCATGCAGATCGCATGCCAAGTCGCACCCAGTACAACCGGGGTGTTAGGCACGACGTACTCACCAAAGCTTCTCTGGCAGTTTGGGGTCTTTATAAATATATTTGTGTTTGTAGCCCAGCTTGGCGGGGTATACTACCAGCTTCACATCTCTGGGGTGACGGGAGTTTATTGCGATTTCATGGAGCTGTTAAAAAAAAAAAAAAAAAAAAAAAAGGAAAAGTAAAAACCACAATTGTCAATGATAAATCTATAAAGGATAACTCCACTATTATGAAAAAATAGCAAATAAAATGTAATCCAATATGGCAACCTGGAGGTGTCCTGTATACAGATGGTGTACAAAATGCCTCCAAAAATGTCATTTGCTGCCTCAATGATTTTCCTACAAGTCTGCACTTGGATACGGGTCAGATTTCAGTGACATCTCTGCAAGTTTTGGTGGGATACCCCCCCCCCCCCCAAGGGTTAATCACTTCTAAAGTGCAGCTGTCCTCATTAGAACACAGAAAGTGCACCAGCTGATTATAATGAACCAGACCCTCCCATTCAGAATGAGTATGAGATCAGTCTGGTGAAACAAAATGCTTCTTCACTGCAGAAAAAGGTAGGAATCTGCTAAAAAAGTTTGTTAAAATCCCTACAATGTACATAGATTAATCGGATGGGGTTTTTTTCAACAAAAATGATTACTCTTTAACCCTTTGAGGACCGTAAGATTTTGGAACGCCAAAAGAATCAATTTTTTGGTTTTTAAAGTTTGTACACTTCAGTTGCTGTAACTAAGCCATTTCATGAAATAATTGGGAAAAAGCTAGATCCATTTGTTTGTTGATAAGAACTAATATTTTGACTCAAACCAAAAAAAAAAAAAAAAGAGTTTTAAGTTCTTAATCAGATGATACACGTAATTAAAAACATGGGACAAATACGCCCCTTGGTCCTCAAAGGGTTAAGGGCTCATGTACACTGCAGCTGATAAACTCACATTTAGGAGCTGTTCAGCGTTTTTTTTTTCTGCAGCCCCTGAACTCTCCCCAATGTTTTCCTATGTGTCCATGTACACATCTTCGTTTACAGGCAGTTGGGTTTACAGTCGTTTTTTTTTGAACGCACCAAACTTGCGTTCAGGAGTAGATTTTATCAGCATTTCAAATGCAAAACGTTTGTAAACGCGGCTAACTGCATTTATAGGCGTTTGCAAATTTTTTTTAACTCTTCCATTTCCAGTTGCTGACCAAAGCCTTTTTTTCATCATGAAAAATGCATGCAAAGCGTCTTCCTGGTACTCAAATGGACCCGGTACACCGTACTTTGAGGTTTCGCATGAAAGAAAATATGTTAGACATTCCTGCAATAATCTCTGCACAGAAATGAGCCGGAACACATCCAAACACCACAAGAAAAAAAAAAGACAGCTAATCTCAACACATACTGCTCTCTCTGCTTCTGCTCTCTCTATTCCTCTCAAAATGTCTGAAATAGTTAATTTTTTACTGTTTTTCAGTACATCTTGGAAGGTCTCCTGAGGTTATCTTAAAAAAAAAAAATGCTTGCAAATGCTCATAAACGCGGTATGCAAACGTGGATAAACAGACGTTTTTTAACCTACGGTTTCCAGCAGTCAGTTTCCATCGTTCAGAAGTGTCCCGTGTACATGGAGCCTAAGGCTCCGTTCATACAAATGCATTTTTTAGTGCTTTTTGCAGAAACGCACTACAGTCCATTTAACATGGTTTCCTATGGAACGCGTTTACATCTATGCTTTTTTGAACTGTTGCGTTTTGGAACGGGTCAGGGACTTTTTTCAAAGCAAAAAGCAGAGTTTTTGCTACAATAGAGTTCAATGGAGAATCTGCAGAAATGCATGGTAGTGTGTTTTTGCCGCATTTTGCATTTTTATTCTGCCCAGCAAAAAAAAAATTCAACTTTTTTTAAAAAAAGAGCTGAACAAAACACGGTAAAACCGCATCAAAAATGCGTGTAGAATTTCCTCTCTCCCAGCATGAATCTTTGACCCCCAAGCCCCCTCCCAGCTCCAATCCTCTCTCCACCCAAATCTCTCCTCCTAGCACACATCCCCACCAAATCCCTCTTCCTAACACAAATTCCCCCCCGCGAAAAAAATATTTCCCTTCCCCTTCCCTCTGATCCCCCTCCCAGTATTAATCCCACCTCCTCAGGGGCGGACTGACAACTCATGGGGCCCCTGTGTCTCAAAAAAGCGAAAAAGGTACCAGGGGCATCTCATGGGGCCCCCTACTGACCCCGGGCCCTCGGGCAATGCCTGAGTTTCCAAATGGTCAGTCTGCCCCTGCACCTCCTAGAACAAATTCCCCCCCCACCCTAATTTCCCCATCAGCACAAATCCTCCCCCCAGTACAAATCCACCCAGAACCCCCTTCCTAACACAAATCCCCCCAAATTTCCCCATCATTCTAATACAAATCCCCCCAAATTTCCCCATCATTCTAATACAAATCCCCCCTCCTAACACAAATCCCGCACCCCCAGTTTTCCCTCCTAGCACAAATCCTCACAGTTGTCCCTACTTTCACAAATCCTCCCCCCTCTAATAGTCCCTAGAACAAATTCCCCTCCCCCCCACCCTAATTTCCCCATCAGCACAAATCCTCCCCCCAGTACAAATCCACCCAGAACCCCCTTCCTAACACAAATCCCCCCAAATTTCCCCATCATTCTAATACAAATCCCCCAAAATTTCCCCATCATTCTAATACAAATCCCCCCAAATTTCCCCATCATTCTAATACAAATCCCCCCTCCTAACACAAATCCCGCACCCCCAGTTTTCCCTCCTAACACAAATCCTCACAGTTGTCCCTACTTTCATAAATCCTCCCCCCTCTAATAGTCCCAATGCAGAAGCGATCAGCTCTTCAATGAACTAATGAATCAAAAACAAAATGAAACAACAATGTCCGACGTGCACGTGTCTACCTACAGATCAGAGAGCTTCAGTATATTTGGACCCACAAACTCACCTCTTTTCCCATCGACACGGGAACGACCTGGTCATCTTCTGCGTGAAGGATCATGATTGGACTGGTCATGGTTTTGATGCTGCAGAACAATGAACATTACAAAGAAAAGTCTGTTTTATTTGTGGCAGGATACACATTTGTATAGTCAGCTTCAAGCACATGATCTCATCAATAATGTTTTAAAAAACTGGTAATTACTGTACAGGGGTTGGACAAAAAATGGACTACATTAGCAGGTGTGAAAGTGACATGCTTCTCATTGAAAGCAGGAATGATGTAACATTCTTTAGCTTCCGCTGTGTGATGAGACACCTAGCTAACCTACCTAAGCCTCACTTTCGTCATTCACTGCGTGTGATGTTAGTAATATGGAGAAATGTCACATCTTACTGAGCCTTAAGTCCTGGTTCACACTGATGCGGTGCGGAATTTGCAGCGTTTTCTGTACGAATTCCGCACCGCATCAGAATCGCACCCTGTTCATGCGAACCGCTGCGGGTGTGTATGTTAACAACCCCCCGTAATCGGTTCGCAAAACACGGTGCCATGTGCAGAATTGGGTCACATAGGTGTGAATATCCATGCGATTCGATTCTAGTGCGGACCCAAAAAAGGGTCCTGCAGGTTTTTGGTGTGGGTGCGGTACGATTAGAGCCATACAAAATGTATGGCTCCAGTCACACTGCACACAAATCGCATGTGCACAGGAATGTGGTGCGGTTCCTGTGCGAATCACATGTGATATACTGCACTGGATATATGTGAACACGGGCTCAAGAGAGCACTTAAATCCCCTTTCTTCCCCATTCTGATGCTCTATTTGAACTTCAGCAAGTTGTCTTCACCAGTCATCTAGATGCCTAAGGGCCAGTTCATACGACATGTGTTTCAGTTGCTTTTTTTTCTGCATCCAAAACACACAGAAAGCAGATTAGATGGTTGTCAATGTCATCGTTCACATCAGTGCTTACAGGTCCAGTGTGTTCCAGTTGTAGAAATAAAGTAGAACATGCTGCAATTTTTTCTGCACAGAACTGTACTGGAATGCAGTAAAACGCATCAAAAAACACACTGGAATGCACCAAAATGCACCAAAAATGCACTGGCATGCACATGTCCCAATTTAGGGCCAGTTCACACTACTGCGTTTTATTTGCTTTTTTCCTGCATCCAAAATACACAGAAAGTAGGTGATATGGTTGTCAATGTCATAGTTCACATCAGTGCTTGCAGTTCCAGTGCGTTCCGGTTGCAGAAAAAAAAAAAAAGTTGAACATGCTGCATTTTTTTCTGCACAGAACTGTGCTGGAACCAGGGGCGGACTGACCATTTGGAAACTCGGGCACTGCCTGAGGGCCCGGGGTCAGTAGGGGGCCCCATGAGATGCCCCTGGTACCTTTTTTATAGGCTTTTTTGAGTTTGGGCAAGGACACAGGGGCCCCGTGATCCCCTATTGCCCGGGGGCCCCATGAGTTGTCAGTCCACCCCTCGCCGGAGCGCAGTAAAACGCATCAAAAAATATACCGGAATGCACCAAACATGCACTGGAACGCACATGTCCCTATTTAGGACCAGTTCACACTACATGCATTTCAGTTGCTTTTTTCTTGCATCCACAACGCACAGAAGGTAGGTTATATGGTTGTCAATGTCATAGTTCACATCAGTGCTTGCAGTTCCAGTGCGTTCCAGTTGCAGAAAAAAAAAAAGTAGAACAGGCTGCATTTTTTCCGGCACAGAACTGCATTGGAACGCGGTAAAACGCACCAAAAACCCACTGGAAAGCACGTGTCCCTATTTAAATTGAAGAAAAAGAGAGAGAGGAAAAAATTAACTGGAATGCATAAAAAACGCATCAGAACATGTAAAAAACGTGCATGCAGAAACACATCTGTACTGCGTTTCTATAGTATGAACCGGCCCTTAAATTGAAGAAAAAGCGAGCGGAAAAATAAACTGTAATTTATAAAAAAAAAAAAAAAAAAATCGCACTGGAACATGTAAAAAAGTACACCAAAAAGCACCAAAAACGTGTCAAAAACATGCATGCAAAAACGCATCTGGAATACATCTGGACTGCGTTTCTATAGCGTGAACGGGCCCTAACTGCATTGAGCTGCTGCCATGTGATTGGCTGATTAGCAATTTGTGTTACCAAGAAATTGAACAGGTGTACCTAATAAAGGGGCCCATGAGTGCATATTCCTGGAGGCAGAACACTTTCGACCCTCTGAAAAGTAATCCATGGTGGATCATTTTTCGAGGGGTATAGCAGCAGCTGCAGTTTTTTTGGGGGGTTTTGTTTTAATTTTTATTTTTTAATTGCCGGATTGCAATTTTAAATTGTTTACCGTGCTGCAACCGTAAGGTAAGGGATTGGTTCACGGCTGCAGATCAGCCCCATGGAACTCATTGGGTGAGTTTGATAGGGAATACCGTACTGTCAGACTCTGCAGCCGGGGGTTTAAAATGCTGCAGATGCGAAGCAAAGCATTGTGACTGCGGCACGTGTACAGCCCTATCCGCCTGGATTGTTACAGTTGGGAGGGTGTGGCTAGGGCAGGGGCGGACTGACAACTCATGGGGCCCCCGGGCAATAGGGGATCATGGGGCCCCTGTGTCCTTGCCCAAACTCAAAAAAGCCTATGAAAAAGGTACCAGGGGCATCTCATGGGGCCCCCTACTGACCCCGGGCCCTCAGGCAGTGCCCGAGTTCCCAAATGGTCAGTCCGCCCCTGGGCTAGGGGTACATGGTGGTAAATCCACCGCTTAGCCTCCTGTTTTTACCACCCCCTGCTCACCCGTGTGAAAGAACTCTAACAAAGAAAATTGGAAGAAAAACTTACTTTTCATCATTTGGAAACACGTGATTACTCAGTGCAAACGTGTCCAGGAAAAAGTATTCGAATCCGGGGTAAATGTGATAGATCTGCCGGAGAAAATAATATCAGAGTTATGCCGGAAAGTCCACATTGCAAGATCTCAGAATATCCCCATCAGCTCGCAGCGACGGCCACAAACCATGTGACTAGTGCTGCCTAAAACCGAAAGGGATAGAATGGAAGAGAATGGAAGAGAATGGGGCAAAGAGCAAAACTGCAATGACAGCTGGCAGATTTCTTTCTCGGAAATTTCTGGATGAAAAATCAGAGTTCTGTGTCGCTCCCCTCCCTGCCATGCTGAGCCAAAAGGAAACCATCCTCCTAGTCACTGCTTGTAGACGTAGAGATCAGTTCAATGTGAATCCCAGCAGTGTGAGCAGTTAGAACCAGGGCCGGTGCTAGACTATTTTTGTCCTAGGCAAGACCAGCTACTTGCGCCCCCCCCCCACACACACAAAAAAAGTAAATAAAAAATTTAAAAAGGGGTATATTGTTGCTGACTTCTGGAGGGTCTATTGATGCTAGCTGGGCTGGTACTTTTGTAGCTGGGGGGGATTTTGTTGCAAGGGGTCTATTGTTGCTGGAGGGGGCCTACTGTTGCTGAAGGGATCTATTGTTGCTGGTGGGGGTCTATTGTTGCCAGGGTGGATCTTTTGTAGCTGACGGGTATTCTGTTATAGGGGGGTCTATTGTTGCTGGAGAGGGGTCTATTGTTGCCAGGGTGGATCTTTTGTAGCTGAGGGGGGTATATGAGCTTGTTGGACATCTCATTCCAGAACCATGCACATTAATATGGAGTTGGAGTATGGACTTTCTTTGTGGTTATAACAGATTCCACTCTTCTAGAAAAGTTTTCCACAAGATTTGCAGTGTGTCTGGGGATTTGTTGCACATTTAGCTGACAGAATTTGAGTGCAATAAGCTGCTGATGCTGGGTGAGAAGTCCTAGCACCCATTCGGAGTTCTAATTCATCCCAAAGGTGTTCAGTAGGATTGAGGTCAGGACCAGGGGCGGACTGACAACTCATGGGGGCCCCCAGGCATTAGGGGTCATGGGGCCCCTGTGTCCTTGCTAAACTCAAAAAAGCCTATGAAAAAGGTACCAGGGGCATCTCATGGGGCCCCCTACTGACCCCGGGCCCTTGGGCAGTGCCTGAGTTTCCAAATGGTCAGTCTGCCCCTGGCGCCCGGTGATTACGAGGATCTCCGACGGGGAGGAGAACTGTTTTGTTTACTAACAGTTCTCCTCCCTGTCAGCTCGGGCACACTGCTTTGGATGGCTGTGCACAGCACAGCCACCCAAAGCAGTGTGCTTACAGTGAAGCACACAGACATCGTCCCCTAGTAAAACACTCCCAGTACACAGTTAACCCTTTGATCGCCCCTCATGTTAACCCCTTCCTGCGTGGTTTTTTTTTTTTTTTTAGCACTGATCACTGTATTGGTGTCACTGGGGATGTCAGTGACACCAAGTCAGTTCCCCCCCAGTGTCAGAATATCCGCCGCAGTCCCGTCATTACTAGTAGAAGAAAAAAATTTCCAGTACATATACACCGCCATTTGTAGACACTATAACTTTCATGTAAACCAATTAATATACACGTATTTGGATTTTTTTTTTAGCAAAGACATGGAGCAGAATACATTTTGGCCTAAATTTATGATGAAATTTGGATTTTTTGAATTTTTTACTGGATATGTTTATTAGCAAAAAGTCAAAAATATAGTTTTTTCTCAAAATTGTCGGTCTTTTTTTCTTTTATAGCGAGAGGAGATCAAATACCACTGACAGAAAGCTCGATTCATCGGGGAAAAAAGGGTGTAAATTTAATTTGGGTGCAGCGTTGCATGACCGCCGCGCAATTGTAACGCAGCGCGTAACGCAAAAAATGGCCTGGTCAGGAAGGGCCCCCCCCCGGTTAAATCCTCTGGAGGGCAAGGGGTTCAAGAGCGGGCTTTGTACACGGGGGCATGGTCATGCCAGCATGGAGTGCATGCAATTGTCTCACATATATTTGTATGTTGTAGCATTCACAGATCCCTACTACTCTGGAAACACCTGAACTCAGTCATTTGGAGACGTGTCCACCAGGGGCAGACTGACAACTCATGGGGCCCCCGGGCAATAGGGGATCATGGGGCCCCTGTGTCCTTGCCCAAACTCAAAAAAGCCTATGAAAAAGCTACCAGGGGTATCTCATGGGGCCCCCTACTGACTCCGGGCCCTCGGGCAGTGCCCGAGTTTAAAATGGTCAGTCCGCCCCTGGTGTCCACATACTTTTAGCCAAGTCAAACTGGGACTTTTGAGTTTATATATTAAAAAAGCAAATTTCAAGGAGCGGGAATTGCATTTATTTTTTTACACACTCCCCTGCTACATTTATACACTTTTGTTGTAGATGTATGTTGCTGTCACAGACCTTTCCAAAAGGGTGAAATGCTCCAGCATCTCGGATGTTGGTATACGGGGCCTCCAGGATCACCGCGTCAGCTGCATTCCCTTCATGGAGAAAAATCACAAATCATAAACAGCAATGGCAATGTTTATACAATGGATCCAACATGGCAGCCCATTATAAGGAATCAATTATTATTATTATACAGGATTTATGGCGCCAACAGTTTGCTCAGCGCTTTACAATATAATGGGAGACAATACAGCAACAATACAGTTCAATACAAGAGGGTTAGGAGGGCCCTGATCCTTGGAGCTTACAATCTAAGAGGGAGGGGGTAGTGGTACAAAAGGTAGTAACTGTGGGGGATGGACTGGTTGGAAGAGTAGAAGATTCCAGTATTGGCTGAGGGCAGGATAGGCTTCCCTGAAGAGAGAGGTTTTCAGAGGTCGCCTAAAAGTGAGCAGAGTAGGCGATAGTCAAATTGGGGTAGAGAGTTCCAGAGGATGGGGGAAGCTCTGGAGAAATCCTGGAGACGGGCATGGGGGAGGAGGAGACAAGGGAGCTAGAGAGCACAAGGTCTTGCGAGGAGCGGAGAGTACAGTTTGGGTGATATCAAGGGGAGTTTTTCATTTATAATCCCAGCCTGAGCCTATTTATAATTAACAAATGGTTAAAAAAAAGAATTTAGGTTTTCATGTTATCCAATACTCCCCAATGTTTAGGTTGTTCCTGTATGTTGGCAGACTGGCAGCTTACTCCAAGCAGAGCCATACTGGAAATACAGTCTTTATGTCAAAAGTACACTCACCAGCCCCCTGAAAAATGATCCACCATGGATTACTTTTCAGAGGGTCGTAAGTGTTCTGCCTCTAGTAGAGGAATATGCACTCATGGGCCCCTTTATTAAGTCCATCTGCTCACATGCTTGGTAACACAAATTGCTAATCAGCCAATCACATGGCAGCAACTCAATGCATTTAGGCATCTAGACGTGGTGAAGACGACTTGCCGAAGTTCAAACCGAGCATCAGAATGGGGAAGAAAGGGGATTTACGTGACTTTGAATGTGGCATGGTTGTTGGTGCCAGACGGCTGGTCTGAGCATTTCAAAAAGTGCTGATCTACTGAGATTTTCACGCACAACCAGGGGCGGACTGAACTCATGGGGCCCCCGGGCAATAGGGGATCATGGGGCTCCTGTGTCCTCGCCCACACTCAAACCACACCCAAAAAAAAGCCTTTGAAAGGTACTAGGGGCATCTCATGGGGCCCCACCCTGAACCTGGGTCCTTGGGCAGTGCCTGAGTGGTCAGTCCACCCCTGCGCACAACCATCTGTAGGGTTTACAGAGAATGGTTCGAAAAAGAGAAAATATCCAGGGAGTGGCAGTTGTGTGAAGGACAATGCCTTGTTGATGTCAGAGGAGAATGGGCAGACTGGTTTCAAATGATAGAAAGGCAACAGTAACTCAAATAATCACTCATTACAAACAAGGTATGCAGAATACCATCTCTGATCGCACAACACGTCAAACCTTGAAGCAGATGGGCTACAGCAGCAGAAGACCACACCAGGTGCCACTCCTGTCCGCTAAGAACAGGAAACTGGGGCTACAACTGGCACAGGATCACCAACATTGGACAACAGAAGATTGGAAAAATGTTGCCTGGTCTGATGAGTCTCGATTTCAGCTGCGACATTCAGATGGTAGGGTCAGAATTTGACATGAAAGCATGGATCCATCCTGCCTTGTATCAATGGTTCAGACTGGTGGTGGTGTCATGGTGTGCGGGATATTTTCTTGGCACACTTTGGGCCCCTTAGTACCAATTGAGCATCGTTTAAATGCCACGGCCTACCTGAGTATTGTTGCTGACCATGTCCATCCCTTTATGCCTCCAGTGTCCCCATCTTCTGATGGCTCCTTCCAGCAGGATAATGCACCGTGTCACAAAGCTCAAATCATCTCCAACTGGTTTCTTGAACACGACAATGAGATCACTGCACTCCAATGGCCTCCACAGTCACCAGATCTCCATCCAATAGAGTACCTTTGGGATGTGGTGGAACGGGAGATTCGCATCATGGATGTGCAGCCGACAAATCTGCAGCAACTGCGAGATGCTATCATATCAATATGGAGCAAAATCTCTGAGGAATGTTTCCAACACCTTGTTGAATCTATGCCACCAAGAATGAAGGCCGTTCTGAAGGAAAAAGGGGGTCCAACCCGGGACTAGCAAGGTGGACCTAATAAAGTGGCCAATGAGTGTATATTGGTAAATTGGATGAACAGGTCAGTTTTTGGAGTGTAAATGTAAACTTCAAGCATTTCTAGAGATCACAGGACATGGAAGCAAAGCCATTTTAAGATCTGAAAGTAAAAGTCCTGTCTAAATGGAAGTAGCTCGATGTGTTTGGGATGACCTTGCCAGGGAAGCCTCTTCTGGGTGCCACTCTGAAGTTCAGCTCTTAGTAAAAAAGTGAAATTAGAGTCAGAGACCCGAAGTCTGTGCTCCGCCCTGAAGCTAAATTCCACTTACAATCCTTCTGTCCAATGACAATGCTTCAACGGCTACCAAAAACTGGATGTGTTTGGGAATGGCTAATAAAAATAGTCCCACTTGGAAAATTGTTGAACAAGAATGTCAGATACAGCCAAGGCATATCGGGAAAATATCTCCCCATTCTCAACATATTTATTTTGTATTTTATTTATTTCAGGTACTTATATAGCGCCATCAATTTACGCAGCGCTTTACATATATATTGTACATTCACATCAGTCCCTAACCCTCAAGGGGTGTACAATCTAAGGTCCCTAACCCTCAAGGGGTGTACAATCTAAGGTCCCTAACCCTCAAGGGGTGTACAATCTAAGGTCCCTAACCCTCAAGGGGTGTACAATCTAAGGTCCCTAACCCTCAAGGGGCGTACAATCTAAGGTCCCTAACTTACATTCATACATACACATACTAGGGCCAGTTTAGACAGGAGCCAATTAACCTACCAGCATGTCTTTGGAGTGTGAGAGGAAACTGTAGCACACGGAGGAAACCCACGCAGGCACAGGGAGAACATGCAAACTTCAGGCAGGTGGTGCCGTGGTTGGGATTCGAACCAACGACCCTAGTACTGCCAAGCAGAAATGCTAACCATTAAGCCACTGTGCTGCCCATACCATATAAAAACAATACATACTATATACTGTATAATAACATAAAATTATTATATACCATTTATTATTTTTATTGTTTTCTATCTTGCATTAAGCTCAAGAGTTGGTTGTGGCCAGCTCAGTGGATTGCTGTAGGAAAGTCCTGGATTCTTTCTTGGATACACAGAATATAACTGGATATAACATTTATAGGTAAACTTGATCCAGGGAATATCCGATTGCCTCTCGGGGGATCAGGAAGGAATTTTTTTCCCTGCAGGAGCAAATTGGATCATGCTTTGCTGGGTTTTTTGCCTTCCTCTGGATCAACTGTGGGTGTAGGATTATAACTTTTTTTTTTTTTAATGGTTGAACTGGATGGACTTTTGTCTTTTTTCAGCCAGACTAACTATGTAACTATGCATTATTATACACTATTTATTATTTTTTTGCTTTTTTTTATACATTTAGCCATGAAGTAGGGGCATCCTTTCCCCTGAAACGTATTGGCTGTACCTGACATTCTTGTTCAATAAATGTTTTCAATGAATTCTCAAATGAAATTATTTCAACTAGAGGCTTCCAGCGACATATCCCGTTTTTTTTGGTCTGAAGAACAATACTTCCCTTGTGATCAGAGAGGCGGCAGCCGAGGACCTCAGCCAGGTCTATACGCACTGTACTTTCACAACAGGTTCACCTCCTTTAAGGAGAACACCTCCACTTTTGGATTCACACTAATACCCTTTCTCATCCCTACTGGCCCAGTGCTGCCAACCTGTCTTCCAATTCAACGACTAATAAAGGAAATCTCATTGGACAGGAGTACTGCGATTTGCTGGGATGTGCTCCAATGGCGGAGCTTAGCCCTGAAGTGGGAACATCTAGCCTTTAACAAGAAGGTAAAACCAGAATCAGAGGGGTGCACAGAAGCGGCTTTCTTATTTTTGATCCTGTTTTGAGCATATCTTTACTTAAAAGTTTTAATTTGGGTTCATTGTAAAGTTAAACTTCAGTTTTGTTAAAGTGTGTTAGCCCCAGACCCTGCATTCACTATATCTGGTCTCCCCGGACCCTGCATTCACTATATCCGGTCTCCCCGGACCCTGCATTCACTATATCCGGTCTCCCCGGACCCTGCATTCACTATATCTGGTCTCCCCGGACCCTGCATTCACTATATCCGGTCTCCCCGGACCCTGCATTCACTATATCCGGTCTCCCCAGACCCTGCATTCACTATATCCGGTCTCCCCGGACCCTGCATTCACTATATCCGGTCTCCCCGGACCCTGCATTCACTATATCTGGTTTCCTCGGACCCGGCATTCACTATATCCGGTCTCCCCGGACCCTGCATTCACTATATCCGGTCTTCCCAGACCCTGCATTCACTATATCTGGTCTCTCTGGACCCTGCATTCACTATATCTGGTTTCCCCGGACTCTGCATTCGCTATATCCGGCCCCCCCGGACCCTGCATTCGCTATATCCGGTCTCCCCGGACCCTGCAGTCACTATATCTGGTCTCCCCGGACCCTGCAGTCACTATATCTGGTCTCCCCGGACCCTGCAGTCACTATATCTGGTCTCCCCAGACCCTGCATTCACTATATCCGGTCTCCCCGGACCCTGCATTCACTATATCCGGTCTTCCCAGACCCTGCGATTTGCTGGGATGTGCTCCAATGGCGGAGCTTAGCCCTGAAGTGGGAACATCTAGCCTTTAACAAGAAGGTAAAACCAGAATCAGAGGGGTGCACAGAAGCGGCTTTCTTATTTTTGATCCTGTTTTGAGCATATCTTTACTTTTAAAAGTTTTAATTTGGGTTCATTGTAAAGTTAAACTTCAGTTTTGTTAAAGTGTGTCAGCCCCAGACCCTGCATTCACTATATCCGGTCTCCCCGGACCCTGCATTCACTATATCTGGTCTCCCCGGACCCAGCATTCACTATATCCGGTCTCCCCGGACCCTGCATTCACTCTATCTGGTCTCCCCAGACCCTGCATTCACTATATCTGGTCTCCCAGGACCCTGCATTCACTATATCCGGTCTCCCCAGACCCTGCATTCACTATATCCGGTCTCCCCGGACCCTGCATTCACTATATCTGGTTTCCTCGGACCCGGCATTCACTATATCCGGTCTCCCCGGACCCTGCATTCACTATATCCGGTCTTCCCAGACCCTGCATTCACTATATCTGGTCTCTCTGGACCCTGCATTCACTATATCTGGTTTCCCCGGACTCTGCATTCGCTATATCCGGCCCCCCCGGACCCTGCATTCGCTATATCCGGTCTCCCCGGACCCTGCAGTCACTATATCTGGTCTCCCCGGACCCTGCAGTCACTATATCTGGTCTCCCCGGACCCTGCAGTCACTATATCTGGTCTCCCCAGACCCTGCATTCACTATATCCGTTCTCCCCGGACCCTGCAGTCACTATATCCTGTCTGCCCGGACCCTGCATTCACTATATCCGGTCTCCTCGGACCCCGCATTCACTATATCTGGTCTCCCCGGACCCCGCATTAACTATATCCGGTCTCCCCGGACCCCGCATTCACTATATCCGGTCTCCCCGGACCCCGCATTCACTATATCCGGTCTCCCCAGACCCCGCATTCACTATATCCGGTCTCCCCGGACCCCGCATTCACTATATCCGGTCTCCCCGGACCCCGCATTCACTATATCCGGTCTCCCCGGACCCCGCATTCACTATATCCGGTCTCCCCGCACCCTGCATTCATTATATCTGGTTTCCCAAAGACCCTGCATTCACTATATCTGGTCTCCCCGGACCCTGCATTCACTATATCTGGTCTCCTCAGACCCTGCATTCACTATATCTGGTCTCCTCAGACCCTGCATTCACTATATCTGGTCTCCCCGGACCCTGCATTCACTATATCTGGTCTCCCCGGACCCTGCATTCACTATATCCGGTCTCCCTGGACCCTGCATTCACTATATCCGGTCTCCCCGGACCCTGCATTCATTATATCCGGTCTCCCACAGTACACGCAACATGGAAATGCAATTATTTTAGTAAATATAAACTGCTAAATCCCTTTTCTCAGCAGCAGTATATAGCAGTCTTGTGACTTCTATCAGTGTCCAGCAGAGCACTGGTTAAAGTTTGTAGGAGGAGTGTTCATTTTGCTCTATGAGGATGCAGGACCCCTGACCTCTGTCTGGACGGCCCTGATTGACCCTGTGCTGATCACATACACTCTCCCAAGAAAAAAAAAAAAACCTCTCTAGCAATACACGCCAAACTGAGCATGTGCATGCCTATGAGTGATGGTCACTTGAAAACGGGGGGGGACAGAGAAGACAGGATCAAACAGCCTTTTTACACAATGCAGAGGATTAACCCCTTAGGTTCCACAGTGAGTATAACAAGCATTCTTTACTGCATCTACAGACTGATTTCACTGTTGTGGGTTTAGTAGCACTTTAAGTAAAGAAAACATCCAGCCTGGTATAATGGAAGCTCTTTTCTCATGTAAGTTGTATTCTAGTTGACTTTTCATACGTTTACTAAATATTAGTATTGCTTGTTTAACAATTTTGCTCACCTTTTTCTTGCAGTTTCCTGGCTGCATTCGTGGCAATACTGTCAAGATGAAAAGGAACAAATACAATAATACATACAGCAAAATATTTCTTCTTTTTTGGACAAATGTAAAAATATGGACAAGAGGGTGCTGGTGAAGGTGCAAATTCCTTGACAAATCGCAGGATTTATTCTGAGGCAGGGGCGGACTGACAACTCATGGGGCCCCCGGGCAATTTGGGATCATGGGGCCCCTGTGTCCTTGCCCACACTCAAAACACACCCAAAAAAGCCTATAAAAGGTACCAGGGGCATTTTATGGGGTCCCCTACTGACCCCGGGCCCTCGGCAGTGTCGAATGGTCAGTCCGCCCCTGTTCTTAGGTCACTGAGAACACAGAGAAACTTTTGGACGGGTAGATTCTATCTCATTTCCATAGTTCAGCTTAAGTCCTCATGGACACGGAACGTTTTTGGCATTTTTCTCTACAGCCAGTAAACCCCCTGGCATGTTATCCTATGTGTCCATACACACACAGACTGGAATCAACGTTTTTCGTCTGGAAAAGACACCCAGAACTAGTGGGCTTCTAGAGGAGTTTTAGGCTCCATGTAGATGGGACACTTCTGAACGATGGAAACTGACTGCTGGAAAATGTAGGTTAAAAAACATCAGTTTAGCCGCGTTTATGAGTATTTGCGTTTAGAAGCGTTTTTTAACCATTTGCCACCCGCCCTTTGGCTGAATGGCGGCCGGCAAATGTCATCAGCGTTCCGGGTGGACGCCATATGGCAGGAAGGGGTAAAATTGCCAGGTATTGAAATGGTTAAAGCTAACCCTCCCAAATGCCCAGAATGCACTGAAAAACAGTAAATTAACTATTTCAGACATTTTGAGAGAAATAGAGAGAGCAGAAGCAGAGAGAGCAGTATTTGTTGAGATGACCTGTCTTTTTTTTTTTTTTTTTTTTGTGGTGTTTGGATGTGCTCCAGCTCATTTCTGTGCAGGAAGTATTGCAGCCGTGTCTAACATATTTTCTTTCATGCAAAACCTCAAAGTATGGTGTAACGGGTCCATTTGAGTACCGGGAAAATGCTTTGAATGCATTTTTCATAATGAAAAAAGGCTCTAGACAGCATCTGGAAATGGAAGAGTTAAAAAAAATTTCCAAACGCTTATAAACGCGGTTAGCCGCGTTTACAGGCGTTTGGCGATTGAAACGCTGATAAAATCTACTCCTGAACACAAGTTTGGTGCATTCAAAAAAACGACTGTAAATTCAACTGCCTGTAAACGACTCTAAACGATGCCGTGTACATGGACATATAGGAAAACATTAGGGAGAGTTCAGGGGCTGCTGAAAAAAAAACGCAGAAAAGCTCCTAAACGTCAGTTTATCAGCTGCAGTGTACATGGAGCCTTAGTTCCAATGCAAAGGGGGTGTTTTGATAACGCTGGTAATGTTAACTGTGTAAAGTCACATTAAAAACGTGAGTTTTTCAGCTTTTTTTGTGTTTTTGCATTAGTGTTTAGCAGCGTTTTTCCACGTTTGCGTTTTTTTTTGTAGGTTTTTTTTACCAAAAAAAAAATTCTTTTTTTGGGCAAGAAAAGTCCAAAAACGCCAGTTTGTGGCCTTTTACGGCGTTTTTCAGCATTAGAGCGTTTTTAATGCTAAAAAAACTCCTCTAGAAGCCCACTAGTTCTGGGGTTTTTTTCCGCCCCTGTCAAAAAACATTGATTACAGTCAGGGGCGGACTGACAACTCATGGGGCCCCTGGGCAATAGGGGATTATGGGGCCCCTGTGTCCTTGCCCAAACTCAAAAAAGCCTATGAAAAAGGTACCAGGGGCATCTCATGGGGCCCCCTACTGACACTGGGCCCTCGGGCAGTGCCTGAGTTTTCAAAGGGTCAGTCCGCCCCCGATTACAGTCTATGTGTGCATGGACACACAGGATTAGGCTCAGTTCACACTAGCTTTGTCAGCAGGTATTAGACAGGCGTTTGGGAAACGTTTTTAACACTCCTCAACAGGGGCGGACTGACAACTCATGGGGCCCTCGGGCAATAGGGGATCATGGGGCCCCTGTGTCCTTGCCCAAACTCAAAAAAGCCTATGAAAAAGGTACCAGGGGCATCTCATGGGGCCCCCTACTGACCCCAGGCCCTCGGGCAGTGCCCGAGTTTCCAAATGGTCAGTCCGCCCCTGCACCTCAAACGCCTATGAAAATTCTACACATGGCAGCACATAGTGCTGTTCACACTGAAGCATTAGCATCGTGGCAAAACTGACTCCTCATGTCCAGTCAGGAGGAACTGAAGTCTCCCATTCAAGTCTATGGTGACGCTCCTCAAACGCCTGGCAGGTGTTTGCGGGGCATTTGCGAGGCATTTGCAGAGCGTTAATGCCATTAAACTTTATTATAGGCATTTATGGTGCGGTTTTATTGCAATGCCTATCAAACGGCTCAAAACCGCACATAGGGCGTATGGGGAGCGTTTGAGGAGCGTTAAAAATGCTTCCCAAACGCCTGTCAAACGCTATAGGGGCATTTGGCAAGGGTTAGAAATTAGTCAGGTGAGAATGAGCCCTTACATGCTGGGGGGTTTACTGGCTGTAGAACAAAAATGTCAAAAGCCAAAAACAGCAGCTGTAAAAAACGCCAAGTGTGCATGAGGGCTCTTAGCTGTAAAAACGCTCTAACGCTGAAAATTGCTGAAAACATGGTAAAACGCAGCAAACCGGCATTTTTGGACTTTTTTGACAAAAAAAAAAAACCTTTTTGGGTTAAAAACCGCTAAAAGACACAAACGTGAAAAAACGCTGCTAAACGCTAAAGCAAAAATGCTAAAAAAAAGCTGAAAAACTCACGTTTTTAACATGACTTTACACAGCTAATGTTACCAGCGTTATCAAAAACGTCCCGTGTGTATGGGGGGCTTAAGCACTTGCGGACCGCCCGCTTACAATGTCCTGCAGACAGACGGACCGTATAGGCTCAGCAGGGTACCTGGACGACACCGGCCTCTTCTGGGTACAGGCAGACGTACATATTCGCCATCACACCACGGATCTCAAGGTGGTCCAAAAAGGTTTTTATTCCAAAAAGATCACATCACAAACAAGAACGTTTCAGATGTGATCATCACATGCCTGACGAAGGGGTCCTGCCTGGCTGCGAAACGTTGCACTTTTCTTTGTGCAAGGGGAGTGACTTGTCATGTGACTTTGGACCACCCCAAAGTCGCATGACAAGTCGCATAAGTGTGAATGTAGCCCAGGGGCGGACTGACAACTCATGGGGCCCCCGGGCAATAGGGGATCATGGGGCCCCTGTGTCCTTGCCCAAACTCAAAAAAGCCTATGAAAAAGGTACCAGGGGCATCTCATGGGGCCCCCTACTGGCCCAGGGCCCTCGGGCAGTGCCCGGGTTCCCAAATGGTCAGTCCACCCCTGGGCTAGGGGTACATGGTGGTAAATCCACCGCTTAGCCTCCTGTTTTTACCACCCCCTGCTCACCCATGTGAATGGTCAGTCCGCCCCTGATGGAACCTAAAGGCTTTTGGTGGATATAACTTAGATATAAATCCATTGTGGCTATTGAGGAACATATTTATATTTTTCCATGAATGAGATGAAACAACGACCCCCCACAGGGGCAGACTGACAACTCATGGGGCCCCCGGGCAATAGGGGATCATGGGTTGCCCAAACTCAAAAAAGCCTATGAAAAAGGTACCAGGGGCATCTCATGGGGCCCCCTACTGACCCCAGGCCCTCAGGCAGTGCCCGAGTTTCCAAATGGTCAGTCCGCCCCTGATGGAGCCTAAAGGCTTTTGGTGGATACAACTTAGATATAAATCCATTGTGGCTATTGAGGAATATATTTATATTTTTCTATGAATGAGATTAAACAATGACCCCCACAGGGGTGGACTGACAACTCATGGGGCCTCCGGGCAATAGGGGATCATGGGCCCCTGTGTCCTTGCCCAAATTCAAAAAAGCCTAGGAAAAAGGTACCAGGGGCATCTCATGGGGCCCCCTACTAACCCCGGGCCCTCAGGCAGTGCCTGAGTTTCCAAATGGTCAGTCCGCCCCTGGACCCCCAAATCAGAACTTACCCGGTTCCCAGAGAATGGCCCCAGAGGCACACAGGATTTCCATGGCTGCGAGCCTTCGCCCATTCATATAAATAGACAGAATCATGGGTCACGCCGGCCTCACTTGGCTCACCAGTGGAGTCAGCAAACCCTTAAAGAACAATGAATGGTGAGGACGGATATGGTCACATGACCACAATTGGGGATTAATAGGGATCAGGGAGTCACAAACCTCTGTAGTCCAAAGCCAAGACATGGAAGCCCGCTTCACTGAGAACCTGTAAGAGATTCCACAACACATCAAGATGACAAATACAATGTAACAGATACCACAAGGAATCCTTTCTAATTCATGTATATACTTCTCATCAGGGGCGGACTGACAACTCATGGGGCCCCCGGGCAATAGGGGATCATGGGGCCCCTGTGTCCTTGCCCAAACTCAAAAAAGCCTATGAAAAAGGTACCAGGGGCATCTCATGGGGCCCCCTACTGACCCCGGGCCCTCGGGCAGTGCCTGAGTTTCCATATGGTCAGTCCGCCCCTGCTTCTCATATTTTGTCTTCTGCATGAAATGACCTGATTACTAAAGTGCTTCAATTCTTATCGAACCCTAAACTAAATCTCACCCAGGCTTCAGCCAAAAATGCAGAAATAGAAATGAATAGCCTATTAAAAGATAAAATATAACTAAACTAGCTTTAGCCATAATATTCAACTTCAATCCAGAGGCTTCCCCTGCGGTAGTTTTCTTTCTTGCCACTAGATGTCCTCTGTCCAGCATTTCACCCACTTCCTCTGAGCCCGGGTCATCATGGACACACTACTGGTCTGTGACTGGGCAGTGAAAGGAGAAGCAAAAAAAAGGTGATGAGCTCATCTCTGTCACTTTGCTCTCTCCTGCTATCAGCATGCTCCTTGTCGGCACATGAACCGAATGCCTTCTTCTGCTGCTACATCCTTGCACGCTCCAGCCCTGCGGTACAGGGGCTGCGGGAAGCTGATTCCAGGTCACATTCTGTTATACTGCTTGTAATTAGAAAAGTATATTTTTTAATGATTACATAGCCACATTCATTTTTATCTTTTTATATCAGTGGAGAGATCAGCTTTAATATTGAAGTACATCTAAAGGCAGACTTTTTTTTTTAGTTTTGGATAATTTTATTTATTTATTTCAGGTACTTATATAGCGCCATCAATTTACGCAGCACTTTACATATATATTGTACATTCACATCAGTCCCTAACAGGGGCGGACTGACAACTCATGGGGCCCCCGGGCAATAGGGGATCATGGGGCCCCTGTGTCCTTGCCCAACCTCAAAAAAGCCTATGAAAAAGGTACCAGGGGCATCTCATGGGGCCCCCTACTGGCCCCAGGCCCTTGGGCAGTGCCTGAGTTTCCAAATGGTCAGTCTGCCTCTGGTCCTAACCCTCAAGGGGTGTACAATCTAAGGTCCTTAACCCTCAAGGGGTGTACAATCTAAGGTCCCTAACCCTCAAGGGGCGTACAATCTAAGGTCCCTAACCCTCAAGGGGTGTACAATCTAAGGTCCCTAACCCTCAAGGGGCGTACAATCTAAGGTCCCTAACCCTCAAGGGGCGTACAATCTAAGGTCCCTAACCCTCAAGGGGTGTACAATCTAAGGTCCCTAACCCTCAAGGGGTGTACAATCTGAGGTCCCTAACTCACATTCATACATACACATACTAGGGCCAATTTAGACAGGAGCCAATTAACCTACCAGCATGACTTTGGAGTGTGGGAGGAAACCGGAGTACCCCGAGGAAACCCATGCAGGCACAGGGAGAACATGCAAACTCCATGCAGGTCGTGCTGTGGGTGGGATTTGAACCAACGCCCCTAGTACTGCCAGGCGGAAGTGCTAACCATTTAGCCACTGTGCTGCCCCCTTGGAGAGGAACACTTGCTGCCTGTGTCTCCTTTAGGCTAGGTTCACACCGATTGCAGGTTGCGTTTGAGCCGTTTCTGCATTGCATTTTGCGTTGCGTTTTTGATGCACTTTTTTTTATTTTTTTATTTTTCTTGTTGCTAGGCAGATTTAAAATGTAAAAACGCATCAAAAATTAGGCAAAAACACAATACATGCTTTTCTGCAGCATTTCCATTGAAGCCTATAGAACCAAAAACGCACATTTTTGAGTTAAAAAAAGTCCCTGACCCTTTCCAAAAAAAAAACGTACCGGGTGAAAATGCACATGCCCCATAGGAAATCATGTTAAATGGACTATACTGCGTTTCTGCAAAACGCAGCGGAAAACGCTTGGGTGTGAACCTGGGGGAAGGAAGACTCACCCACTCCATTTGTCCTGTTTACTGTTATTACTGAAAGTGACAGAAAATCCTAAAGTTTGGGTTGTCAACAGGAAGAGAAGAGAAATCTTCCAATGGGGACACCAGATATGGTGATCCTGGTGACAACTAGGGATTTCCTTCATTTCTTGTTGGGGCTATGGGAAAGGTAGGGAAGGAACACAGATGGCAAAAAAACTGAAAGTGGTTAAAACCCTCTAGCTATAATGAAAAAAAAAAGTTTTTCCTTTTAATTCTAATTTACAGTGTTACTAAACCCACAACAGTGAAATCAGTCTGTATATGCAGTAAAGCATGCTTGTTATACTCACTGTGGAACCTAAGGGGTTAATCCTCCGCATTGTGTAAAAAGGCTGTTTGATCCTGTCTTCTCTGATCTTCCCCTCTGTTACTGTCCCCAATCCATCTCCTGATAAACCAGAGCCCTGGGAGGCACTCTGCACATGCTCAGTTTGGTGTATATTGCTAGAGAGTGTTTTTTTTTTATTTGGGAGGATGCATGTGATTAGCACAGGGCCAATCAGCACTGTCCAGATAGAGGATCAGGGGTCATGCAGCCTCATAGGACAATCAGGGGAGAACAAAAACTCCTACAAGCTTTAACCAGTGCTCTGCTGGACACTGATAGAAGTCACATGACTGCTATATACTGCAAAATAGTTGCATTTCCCTGTTGTGTGTACTGTCAGAGATCAGATATAGTGCATGCAGGGTCCAGGGAGACCAGATATAATGAATGCAGGGTCCAGGGAGACCAGATATAGTGAATACAGGGTCCAGGAAGACCAGATATAGTGAATGCAGGGTCCAGGGAGACCAGATATAGTGAATGCAGGGTCCATGGAGATCAGATATAGTGAATGCAGGGTCCGGGGAGACCAGATATAGTGAATGCAGGGTCCGGGGAGACCAGATATAGTGAATGCAGGGTCCGGGGAGACCAGATATAGTGAATTGCAGGGTCTGGGGAGACCAGATATAGTGAACGCAGGGTCTGGGGAGACCAGATAGAGTGAACGCAGGGTCCGGGGAGACCAGATATAGTGAACGCAGGGTCCGGGGAGACCAGATATAGTGAATGCAGGGTCCGGGGAGACCAGATAGAGTGAATGCAGGGTCCGGGGAGACCAGATAGAGTGAATGCAGGGTTTGTTAAGACCAGATATAGTGAATGCAGGGTCCGGGGAGACCGGATATAGTGAATGCAGGGTCCGGGGAGACCAGATATAGTGAATGCAGGGTCCAGGGAGACCAGATATAGTGAATGCGGGGTCCGGGGAGACCAGATATAGTGAATGCAGGGTCCGGGGAGACCGGATATAGTGAATGCAGGGTCTGGGGAGAGCGGATATAGTGAATGCAGGGTCCGGGGAGACCAGATATAGTGAATGCAGGGTCCGGGGAGACCGGATATAGTGAATGCAGGGTCCAGGGAGAGTGGATATAGTGAATGCAGGGTCCGGGGAGACCGGATATAGTGAATGCAGGGTCCGGGGAGACCGGATATAGTGAATGCAGGGTCCGGGGAGACCAGATATAGTGAATGCAGGGTCCGAGGAGACCGAATATAATGAATGCAGGGTCCGGAGAGACCGGATATAGTGAATGAGGGGTCCGGGGAGACCGGATATAGTGAATGCAGGGTCTGGGGAGACCAGATATAGTGAATGCAGGGTCCGGGGAGACTGGATATAGTGAATGCAGGATCTGGGGGAGACTGGATATAGTGAATGCAGGGTCCGGGGAGACCGGATATAGTGAATGCAGGGTCCAGGGAGATCGGATATAGTGAATGCAGGGTCCGGGGAGATCAGATATAGTGAATGCAGGGTCCGGGGAGATCAGATATAGTAAATGCAGGGTCCGGGGAGACCGGATATAGTGAATGCAGGGTCCGGGGAGACCGGATATAGTGAATGCAGGGTCCGGGGAGACCGGAGATAGTGAATGCCAGGTCTGGGGAGACCGGATAGAGTGAATGCCGGGTCTGGGGAGACCGGATAGAGTGAATGCCGGGTCTGGGGAGACCGGATATAGTGAATGCAAGGTCCGGGGAGACCGGATATAGTGAATGCAGGGTCGGGGGGAGACCGGATATAGTGAATGCAGGGTCTGGGGAGACCAGATATAGTGAATGCAGGGTCTGGGGTTTAGTAACACTTTAAATTCAATTTTAATTTTAAATGCTTTTAATACTGCAACTTTTGTCAGTATAATACTCAGCGATCCTACCATGAAGATTCTTGTTCAGACACCTACTGTTACAGGGTGACAACACTCTGTCTCCTAATTGTGCTCCTGTGTTGTCACCCTGTAACATGCACACCTGGTGGAGACTACATCCTAGGGTGGTGTCACACATTGCTCAGGCATGTCACTATCAGGAAGCTGTACCAAAGATGTGCAGCTGACAATGTAGTGAGTGCAAGTTGACAGAAAGTGGCTGAAACAGGCTGAGGGAGATCAGCGGCAGAGAAGCATAATAGATTTCTACACACGAGTAATACTGAACAATGGAACAGCCATCTGTTTCTTACAGTATAATTATTTTCAGTTTTGGATATAGTAGGAAAGAGTTTTTTTTTTTTTTTTAGCAATCTTTGTCCTGTTAGCGAAATTTCACTTTACTTCTTGTCCTGGAGATGCAACAGGAAGTAAAAAGAAATATCTACAAAGTGAAAGAGGAACAGATGTCCATTCATCTCTTCCTCTGGTGATGACTGTAATATTTGGATTTCCGATCATTTTCTGTCCACGTAACAATGTTCCTAGGAAAACTGAGAGGGTGAATCTACCCCGCGGGTTCAGATCTTTATCCAAAACCAAAAAAAAAAAAAAAAACGTTTTGGCTGTACATTCACTTCAACTTGACTTATAAAGCTGAACTCTGGGATTAGCAAATGTTGACTAAATACATCATCTGTATTCTTCCTTGAATCTTCATATGCTTTGTGTATTATTTACAGATCTGTGCATACACACTATATTGCCAAAAGTATTGGTTGGCCGGCCTTTTCACGCACATGACCTTTAATGGCCCCCCAGTCTTTGTCCGTAGGGTTCAATATTGAGTTGGCCCCGCCCTTTGCAGATATAACAGCTTCAACTCTTCTGGGAAGGCCGTCCACAAGGTTTAGGAGGGTGTCTATGGGAAGGTTGGACCATTCTTCCAGAAGCACATTTGTCAGGTCAGGCACTGATGTCGGGGGAGGAAGCCTGGCCCGCAGTCTCCGCTCTAATTCATCCCAAAGGTGTTCTATGGGGTTGAGGTCAGGACTCTGTGCAGGCCAGTCAAGTTCCTCCACCCCAAACTGGCTCCTCCATGTCTTTATGGACCTTGCTTTGTGCACTGGTGTGCAGTCATGTTGGAACAGGAAGGGGCCATCCCCAAACTCTTCCCACAAAGTTGGGAGCATGAAATTTTCCAAATGTCTTGGTATGCTGATGCCTTAAGCGTTCCCTTCACTAGAACTAGGGGGCCAAATCCAACCCTGAAAAAACAACCCCAAACCATAATCGCCCCTCTACCAAACTTTACACTTGGAACAATGCAGTCAGGTAAGTACCGTTCTGCTGGCAACCGCCAAACCCAAACATGCCCATCAGATTGCCAGCCAGAGAAGAGTGATTGGTCACTCCAGAGAACACGTCTCCACTGCTCTAGAGTCCAGTGGCGGCGTGCTTTACACCACAGCATCCGACGCTTTGCATTGCACTTGGTGATGTAAGGCTTGGATGCAGCTGCTAAGCCATGGAAACCCATTCCATGAAGCTCTCTACACACTGTTTTTGGGCTCATCTGAAGGCCACACCAAGTTTGGAGGTCTTTAGCTATTGACTCTGCAGACAGTTGGTGACTTCTGCGCACTGTGCGCTTCAGCATGCGCTGACCCCGCTCTATCATGTGACGTGGCCTACCACTTGGTGGCTGAGTTGCTGTTGTTCCCAGTTGCTCCCACTTTGTTATAATCCCACTAACAGTTGAGCGTGGAATATTTAGTAGCCAGGAAATGTCACGGATGGACTTATTGCCCAGGTGACCACCTATCACGGGACCACGCTTGGAGTCACTGAACTCCTGAAAGCGACCCATTCTTTCACCAATGTTTGTAGAAGCAGTCTGCATGCCTAGGGGCTTGATTTTATACACCTGTGTCCATGGAGGGGATTGGAGCTCCTGAATCCAATGATTTGGAGGGCTGGCCCAATACTTTTGGCAATATAGTGTACTTTCCCTCTGTGCTGGAGCTTCCTGTAATGAAGACTGGCCACTGCTGCTCTCTCTCCTTGTGCAGGGTGGTTTGTCTTTTCTCCGCCCCCTCCTGTAGTTTTCTACAGCCTGTAGTGGGTGGAGCCTACTGGGCCCCTCCCACTCTTTTCAGCACAAGGATATGTACAGCACAGTGATGATGTCACTGCTACTTTTACAAGATAGTATCTAGGAATGCATTTAGTGCACGCAAAGCAGAATTATATATTTGTGGGTATTGAGGAATATATTTAAATGAAAGTTTAGTGCTTGGAGTTCTGCTTTAAAGGCAGCCATTCACGGCACAGACATGGAGAATAATACTCACCTTCATTAGTTGTACTCTGTGATCGACAGCCCTGGAGGGAGATAGAAAAAAGAAGTTGAGGTCTGGGCGGGCATGAAAAATACATTTGCTGTGAAAATGTCTTGTAGAGGAAGTCTAACAGATCTAACTGCTTGATTGAGTACTATATAAAGTGGTGTTTATAGTGCAGTCACCCAGGGACCAATCAGAAATCATCTCACCAGGGGCGTCCCTAGGCAGGTGCGGGGTGTGTGCGCCGCACGGGGTGACACCTACCGCAGGTGGTGACACCGGATCTGCTCCACGAAAAGGTAAGTTGTAAAGCAAGCCAATGATCCCCACAGGATGGATCAGATCTGCGGATTGAGCATAATGGATCAGAGTCCTCTTCATTATGCCCTAATCTGCAGATCCGATCCATCCTGCGGGGATCGTCTGCATGCAACCTATACAGGGTGACACCGGACCCGCTCCACGAAAAGGTAAGTTGTAAAGCAAGCCGATGATCTCTGCAGGATGGATCAGATCTGCGGATTGAGCATAATGGATCAGAGTCCTCTTCATTATGCTCAATCCGCAGATCCGATCCATTATGCTCAATCCGCAGATCCGATCCATCCTGCGGGGATCGTCGGAGGGGGTGTCACCAAGTGTTATCGCACCAGGTGACACCAAACCTGCATCTCACTGAGAGTAAACTGAAGATGGTGCTGATATCCTCCGACTCTATGAATGTCCAGGACTGCAGACACAGAAATGTAAACAAAGTATCATATGACACTTTATCATCGTAAGCAACACCCTACACCCCTATAGGAAGGGGTGACTCCAGACAGCAATACATACATTTACATTGCGGTTATGAAGTAGAATGCTGGGGTTATGGCAGCACAGTGGCTAAATGGTTAGCACTTCCGCCTGGCAGTACTTGGGTCGTTGGTTTGAATCCCAACCATGGCACTTCCTGCCTGGAGTTTGCATGTTCTCCCTGTGCCTGCGTGGGTTTCCTCCGGGTACTCTGGTTTCCTCCCACACTCCAAAGACATGCTGGTATGTTAATTGGGTCCTATCTAAATTGGCCCTTGTATATGAATGTGAGTTAGGGACCTTAGATTGTACACCCCTTGAGGGTTAGGGACTGATGAGAATGTATGATATATATATATATACAGTGGGGATCAAAAGTTTGGGCACCCCAGCTAAAAATTTGTATTAATGTGCATAAAGAAGCCAAGGAAAGATGGAAAAATCTCCAAAAGGCATCAAATTACAGATTAGACATTCTTATAATATGTCAACAAAAGTTAGATTTTATTTCCATCATTTACACTTTCAAAATAACAGAAAACAAAAAAATGGCGTCTGCAAAAGTTTGGGCACCCTGCAGAATTTATAGCATGCACTGCCCCCTTTGCAAAGCTGAGACCTGCCAGTGTCATGGATTGTTCTCAATCATCGTCTGGGAAGACCAGGTGATGTCAATCTTAAAGGTTTTAAATGCCCAGACTCATCTGACCTTGCCCCAACAATCAGCACCATGGGTTTTTCTAAGCAGTTGTCTAGAAAACTGAAACTGAAAATAGTTGACGCTCACAAAGCTGGAGAAGGCTATAAGAAGATAGCAAAGCGTTTTCAGATGTCAATATCCTCTGTTTGGAATGTAATTAAGAAATGGCAGTCATCAGGAACAGTGGAAGTTAAAGCAAGATCTGGAAGACCAAGAAAAATATCAGACAGAACAGCTCGCAGGATTGTGAGAAAAACAATTCAAAACCCACGTTTGACTGCACGATCCCTCCAGAAAGATCTGGCAGACACTGGAGTTGTGGTACACTATTCCACTATAAAGAGATACTTGTACAAATATGGTCTTCATGGAAGAGTCATCAGAAGAAAACCTCTTCTACATCCTCACCACAAAAATCATCGTTTGAACTTTGCAAATGAACATATAGACAAGCCTGATGCATTTTGTAAACAAGTTCTGTGGACCGATGAGGTTAAAATTGAACTTTTTGGCCGGAATGAGCAAAGGTACATTTGGAGAAGAAGGGGCACAGAATTTAATGAAAAGAACCTCTATCCAACTGTTAAGCATGGGGTTGGATCAATCATGCTTTGGGGTTGTGTTGCAGCCAGTGGCACAGGGAACATCTCACGAGTAGAAGGAAAAATGGATTCAATCAAATTTCAGCAAATTTTGGATGGTAACTTGATGCCATCTGTGTAAAAGCTGGAGTTAAAGAGAGGATGGCTTCTACAAATGGACAATGATCCTAAACACACCTCGAAATCCACGGGGGATTACATCAAGAGGCGTAAACTGAAGGTTTTGCCATGGCCTTCACAATCTCCTGACCTCAACATATATGAAAATCTATGGATAGACCTTAAAAGAGCAGTGCGTGACAGACAGCCCAGAAATCTCAAAGAACTGGAAGACTTTTGTAAGGAAGAATGGGCAAAGATACCTCAAACAAGAATTGAAAGACTCTTGGCTGGCTACAAAAAGCGTTTACAAGCTGTGATACTTGCCAAAGGGGGCAGTACAAGATATTAACTCTGCAGGGTGCCCAAACCTTTGCAGACGCCATTTTTTTGTTTTCAGTTATTTAGAAAGTGTAAATGATGGAAATAAAATCTAACTTTTGTTGACATATTATAAGAATGTCTAATCTGTAATTTGATGCCTTTTGGAGATTTTTCCATCTTTCCTTGGCTTCTTTATGCACATTAATACAAATTTTTAGCTGGGGTGCCCAAACTTTCGATCCCCACTGTATATGTAAAGCGCTGTGTAAATTGGCAGTGCTATATAAGTACCTGAAATAAATAAAATTGGATGCCATCATCCCAGTAATAACATTTACAGCAGCTGCTGCTGTTTTTGGTAAAAGTGATCCGAGTGGCTGATTAGCCGCTGGATCACTTTTAGAAGCAGTAGGAGTCGCCTCCACCCCCTCCTGCAGCTTTCTGGTGGTTCTCGGGCTTACCGGCCTGATCGGTGAGCCGGCAGTCACGGCAGCTGGTCATAAGGATTAGTTGAGGAAAGATGGCCCCAGCTAATCTCTATGGCCTAGGAGGACCGGAGAGACGTCATGATGTCACTTCGATTAATGGGGGTTATTTTTTGGATCTAATGTTTTCCATTGACGAGGGGAGATGTGAGGTCTTATAGTGCTCCCTTCAAAAAGAGGACCTGTCATGATTTATTGTTATTACAGTGGATGGCAATATTTGTTGCGATAGTGATAAAAGTGATCAAAACAGAAAAATTGTAAAGGGACAGTGTAAAAATTAAAAAATGTAATAAAATAGTGGCAAAAAATGCAGTGGCGAATGCATATGTAGGTCATACTCACATATGTAAACTGTGTTCGCCCCACACATATGAGGTATCTCCACGACGGGGAAAGCGAGAGCAATAATTCCAGCAATAGACCTCCTCTGTAACTCAAAACTGGTAACCTGTAAAGGCTTTTAAAGCGTCACCTATTGAGATTTTTAAGTATCATAGTTTGGCGCCATTCCTCAAGTGTGCGCAATTTTAAACTGTCACATGTTAGGTATCTGTTTAGTCGGCCTAACATAATCTTTAAAATTTTACAAAATAAACTGGGTTATATTGTTTTTTTTTTTAAGTTTATTAAAGTGTATTTTTTTTTCAATAAAACTGCATTTGAAAAACCGTTGCACAAATACCATGTGGTGAAAAAAATTGCAACCCATTTTTTTCACTAGGGTCTCTGCAAAAAAACCCCATATACAGTCAGGTCCATAAATATTGGAACATCGACACAATTCTAACATTTTTGGCTCTATACACCACCACAATGGATTTGAAATGAAACAAACAAGATGTGCTATAACTGCAGACTGTCAGCTTTAATTTGAGGGTATTTACATTCAAATCAGGTGAACGGTGTAGGAATTACAACAGTTTGCATATGTGCCTCCCACTTATTAAGGGACCAAAAGTAATGGGACAATTGGCTTCTCAGCCGTTCCACGGCCAGGTGTGTGTTATTTCCTCATTATCCCAATTACAATGAGCAGATAAAAGGTCCAGAGTTCATTTCAAGTGTGCTATTTTCATTTGGAATCTGTTGCTGTCAACTCTCAAGATGAGATCCAAAGAGCTGTCACTATCAGTGAAGCAAGCCATCATTAGGCTGAAAAAACAAAACAAACCCATCAGAGAGATAGCAAAAACATTAGGCGTGGCCAAAACAACTGTTTGGAACATTCTTAAAAAGAAGGAATGCACCGGTGAGCTCAGCAACACCAAAAGACCCGGAAGACCACGGAAAACAACTGTGGTGGAAGACCGAAGAATTCTTTCCCTGGTGTAGAAAACACCCTTCACAACAGTTGGCCAGATCAAGAACACTCTCCAGGAGGTAGGTGTATGTGTGTCAAAGTCAATAATCAAGAGAAGACTTCACCAGAGTGAATACAGAGGGTTCACCACAAGATGGAAACCATTGGTGAGCCTCAAAAACAGGAAGGCCAGATTAGAGTTTGCCAAACGACATCTAAAAAAGCCTTCACAGTTCTGGAACAACATCCTATGGACAGATGAGACCAAGATCAACTTGTACCAGAGTGATGGGAAGAGAAAAGTATGGAGAAGGAAAGGAACTGCTCATGATCCTAAGCATACCACCTCATCAGTGAAGCATGGTGGTGGTAGTGTCATGGCGTGGGCATGTATGGCTGCCAATGGAACTGGTTCTCTTGTATTTATTGATGATGTGACTGCTGACAGAAGCAGCCGGATGAATTCTGAAGTGTTTCGGGAATATTATCTGCTCATATTCAGCCAAATGCTTCACAACTCATTGGACGCTTCACAGTGCAGATGGACAATGACCCAAAGCAGACTGCAAAAGCAACCAAAGAGTTTTTTAAGGGAAAGAAGTGGAATGTTCTGCAATGGCCAAGTCAATCACCTGACCTGAACCCGATTGAGCATGCATTTCACTTGCTGAAGACAAAACTGAAGGGAAAATGCCCCAAGAACAAGCAGGAACTGAAGACAGTTGCAGTAGAGGCCTGGCAGAGCATCACCAGGGATGAAACCCAGCGTCTGGTGATGTCTATGCGTTCCAGACTTCAGGTATAATTGACTGCAAAGGATTTGCAACCAAGTATTAAAAAGTGAAAGTTTGATTTATGATTATTATTCTGTCCCATTACTTTTGGTCCCTTAATAAGTGGGAGGCACATATGCAAACTGTTGTAATTCCTACACCGTTCACCTGATTTGGATGTAAATACCCTCAAATTAAAGCTGACAGTCTGCAGTTAAAGCTCATCTTGTTCATTTCATTTCAAATCCATTGTGGTGGTGTATAGAGCCAAAAATGTTAGAATTGTGTCGATGTCCCAATATTTATGGACCTGACTGTATATATAATGTGTTTTGGGGGTTCTAATCAATTTCCTATAGAAAACAAAATGATTGTTACATGTAAACAAAAGGTACCAGAAAAAGCCTGGCCCTTTAAAAGGAATAGGACTGCTTAAAGCGGAACCTCACCTGAAAGGGGACATTTTTCTCTTCATCATTCTCCTCCCTCCATTACCATATTTCAAATTTTTTCTTGAGGGAGGGAGCAGTTACTTACAACCCCCTCCCCCCACCCCCCACAACCTTCTGGAACACGTCACAGGTCCCAGGAGGCTGTGGGACCATTCAAAGGGGGCATCACGGCTCACACATGTGCAGTGGGAAGCTGGCTATGGGGTGGATCACTTGGTCCCACTGCTATGCAGAAAACACTTTTTTTTCAATAACCACTTGCCACCCAGCTACAGTACATTTACTGCACCAGGGCGGCACAAGCATTGTTGGGATACAGTGTTCATATACCGTATTTTTCGCCGTATAAGACGCACCTGACCATAAGACGCACCTAGGTTTTAGAGGCAGAAAACAGGAAAAAAATTCTGAACTAATGGACTGCAGACACAGTACAGGAGATGACCAGAGACTGCGGACAGTACAGGAGATGACCAGAGACTGCGGACAGCACAGGGATGACCAGAGACTGCGGACAGCACAGGGATGACCAGAGACTGCGGACAGCACAGGTATGACCAGAGACTGCGGACAGCACAGAGATGACCAGAGACTGCGGACAGCACAGGGATGACCAGAGACTGCGGACAGCACAGAGATGACCAGAGACTGCGGACAGCACAGGGATGACCAGAGACTGCGGACAGCACAGGGATGAGCAGAGACTGCGGACAGCACAGGGATGACCAGAGACTGCGGTCAGCACAGGGATGACCAGAGACTGCGGACAGCACAGGGATGACCAGAGACTGCGGACAGCACAGGGATGACCAGAGACTGCGGACAGCACAGGGATGACCAGAGACTGCGGACAGCACAGGGATGACCAGAGACTGCGGACAGCACAGGGATGACCAGAGACTGCGGACAGCACAGGTATGACCAGAGACTGCGGACAGCACAGAGATGACCAGAGACTGCGGACAGCACAGGGATGACCAGAGACTGCGGACAGCACAGAGATGACCAGAGACTGCGGACAGCACAGGGATGACAAGAGACTGCGGACAGCACAGATGACTGCTGACCTTTGGGGAGGTGGGGAGCGGGTACCTGAATTTGACAGGTACCCGCTCTTACTTCCGCAGAGTTGTTCTTTGATCTTACCTGTTCCTCGATCCAGCCGCGCGCTGTCTTCCCGACTTCTGTAATGGCGCTCGGTATGACAGCCGGGTGCCCAGTGCGCATGAGTGAGAAGCACTTGCGCTTTGTGATTGGTACGGCGGCTTCTGGGATCTGTCATGTGTCCCAGGTACCGCCTTACCATTCACAAAAAGCACCGCTTCTTGCGCATGCGCACTTGGCACCCGGCTGCCATGCCCAGTGCCCACACTACAGAAGCCGGGAAGACAGCACGCCGCTGGATAGAGGAACAGGTAAGGTCCCGCTGCAGAGCTGAGCGGCCGGCCCGGTATTCTGACACGGCCGCGGTGGAAATACCGGACCGGCCGCTCCATATTCGCCTTATAAGACGCACTGACATTTCCCTCCCAGTTTTGGGGAAGAAAAAGTGCGTCTTATACGGCGAAAAATACGGTATTTTCTGCAACAACTATATCCATATTCAGCAGAGATATATTCTTCAACCAGTAGATGGCAGTGTTTGTAGCTGCATCTATGGTAAACTCTATGTCTTTTCTCTGAATAAAGTTTCCTGTTTCCTTGTTGCAATGAAGCAGCAGAAAAGCACATGTGGACTGTCCACTGTCTGTTCTGTAAGGCTACATACAGAATTTCCAACAGGTTATGTGCTCATTCATAACCTGCTATAGCAAATAAGTGCAAGGTACAACAGAAAGAAGACTGCAACAGAATAAAAGAAAATGGCCAGTAACAGCTGCAACAAACAGCTTTTATTTGCAAATCTAACACATATACATGCATATATATATATATATATATATATATATATATATATATATATATATATATGTGTGTGTGTGTGTGTATGTTAGATTTGCAAATAAAAGCTGTTTGTTGCAGTTGTTACTGGCCATTTTCTTTTATTCTGTTGCAGTCTTCTTTCTGTTGCTGTACCTTGCACTTATTTGAGCCTGCACCTGTTTAGAAAGCTGACGAGATCCCCTCTCATGACTGCTCTATCAACCAGACACAAGATATGTGTTAGCGATCTCATGATAACAATGTAAACAACCTGTCATGAATGGGGTTCTCATTTATGAACAGCTTGTTTACTGCTGTGATCTATGATTGGCCCACAGGAAACGCATGGTACCTGGCTACCTGTGCCATGTGATTAGCTTAGCCAATCACAGATCACAGCCAAAAGCAAGCCGTTCATAAATGAGAAACCCATTCATGACAGCTAAAGCCATTGCTTACACGGTGATCTCCCCCCCAGAGTAGTTTAGTGTCTTTATGGTGATACTGGGCTACTCTGATGAAAATATGTAAATAGATAGCAAAAAAAAAGTTTAAATGTTAAAGAGTGTAAAAATGTAAGTAAATATTTTTTTTTTTTTTTTTACATACTGTCATCAGTCAGTATACCAGATCACCACCAAACCAGTCATATGGCACTGAACTTCACTGGTGACAGTATGTAAAAAAAAAAAAAAAAGATTTGATTTCTTCCAAAAAATTGTGACAAAAAAATGACAGCTTGAAAATACTTGCCATGTCTAAATAAATCAGACTGTCTACTCTTCAAATATAGATCATTTAGGGAATATTTGTACTGTTTTGGCTTTTTGGGAATGAGATCATCCATCAGTACATCAGGAATGATCAATTTTCAAATCTATATCCCAGAGTTTGTAACTTTCACTCACACCAATTAATATCCAATTTGTGGGATTTTTTCTTACCAATGACATGTAGCAGTATACATTTTGGCCTTAATTTTGATGAAATTTGATCTTATTGGATATTTTTTTTATAACAGAAAATTAATTATTTTTTCACCATTTTTGGCCTTTTTTCACTTTCTATAATAAAATATTAAAAACCCAGTAGTGATCAAATACCACCAAAAGGGATATCTATTTGTGTTTAAAAAAAAAAAAAATATAAATTTCAATTGGGTACAGTGTTGCGTGACCGTGCAATTGTCAGTTAAAGTAGCGTAGTGCTGTATAGGAAAAGATGGCCTGGTCATGAAAGGGGTAAAACCCCCCGGAGCTTAAGTGGTTAAATACAAAGAGTTCCCTGATTGGACAATGGAGATAAGATGAGGGGGGGTTGACTTTTGCGATGACACTTTCACTTTTCCTTGAATAAGTGAAACGACAATGTCTCTTTAAAGCATGCGCACGATCTCATTTATAACAGAGGAATATAAAGAATGGAATGCTTTCTCAATATTTCATCCAGACTGCGCCCCTTCACATGAAACGCACATAATAAAGCGACACCGGGTCTCCGGTTACGGCAGATCAGCCTGTAATCACCTGGTTCCCCCATTGCCATGGAGATAAATTATAATTGGGTTGTCATCTGCAAGAGAGTCTTCAAACCAGCGTTGGCCCTTTCCTCTCGCCTCTTCCCCCCTGCTGGCAGGCACGGTATGCCTAGGAGAACAAATCGGAGTGATTAATATGCATGCGTCGTGTACAGGAGCCGACTGTCTCTGCTTTCTCATCTCGCTAAATCCACCGCAATAAAACAAAATATCATTAAGCAAATCGTCCATGAAGTCAGCCGCCATGCTTAGAAACGGCGTTCTTATAATTAACCCCTATCACTATGATATCTCATAATTAGGCAAATATTTGTTTCCTACAAATGGGTTCATTTAAAGAGAATCTGTTGATTCCCGCTGCTAATTTCATTGTTCAGAGATAATTGATCCAACCCTTGTTCTCCATCACTATAGGTATTCCAAATCGATTCTACTACACCAGGGGTCTCCAAACTTTTCAAACAAAGGCCTAGTTTACTGTTCTTCAGACTTTAGGGGGGCTGGATTGTGGTCAGCGGGGGGTGGAAAATGTCCCAGGTCCAGCTTCGGTGAGAATAAACATGGCCTCAGGGTTAGTTGTCAGTAGGAAGAGGAGGAGGAGGAGTAGTGCCCCATCATTGGTGTCAGTGGGAGCAATAGTGCCTGATATCATTGGAAGGAATAGAGCACCAAGGGCCAGATAAAGGCTAGTAAAGGGCCACATTTGACTGCAGTTTGGAGACCACTATTCTAGACTATTTAAAGAAATACCTAGACAAACTTAGTAATGGTAACAGATGTAAAAGATTCATTGTAAATTAGCATGAGACTCCCAGAACAATTTGTATTTTTTCTCTAATTGGCTGTGTAGTTAAATTTAAACTATAAAGAGAATCTCTGTTGACTTAGGGCCAGTTGACACCACATGCAGTCCAGTGGGGTTTTTTTCTCTGCTACCAAATGTTTAATTGAAATACACTTTATTGCCAAAAGTATTGGGCCCGTCCTCCAAATCAATGGATTCGGGTGTTCCAATAACCTCCATGGACACAGGTGTATACAATCAAGCCCCTAGGCATGCAGACGGCTTCTACAAACATTGGTGAAAGAATGGGTCGCTCTCAGGAGCTCAGTGACTCCAAGCGTGGTCCCGTGATAGGTGGTCACCTGTGCAATAAGTCCATCCGTGACATTTCCTGGCTACTAAATATTCCACGCTCAACTGTTAGTGGGATTATAACAAAGTGGAAGCAACTGGGAACAACAGCAACTCAGCCACCAAGTGGTAGGCCACGTAACATGACAGAGCGGGGTCAGTGCATGCTGAAGCGCACAGTGTGCAGAAGTCGCCACTCTGTCTGCAGAGTCAATAGCTAAAGACCTCCAAACTTGGTGTGGCCTTCAGATTAGCACCAACAACCGTGCGTAGAGAGCTTCATGGAATGGGTTTCCATGGCCGAGCAGCTGCATCCAAGCCTTACATCACCAAGTACAATGCAAAGTGTTGGATGCAGTGGTGTAAAGCACGCTGCCACTGGACTCTAGAGCAGTGGAGACGTGTTCTCTGGAGTGACCAATCACACTTGTCTATCTAGCAATCCGATGGATATGTCTGGGTTTGGCGGTTGCCAAGAGAATGGTACTTGCCTGACTGCATTGTGCCAAGTGTAAAGTTTGGTGGAGGGGGGGTTATGGTGTGGGGTTGTTTGTCAGGGGTTGGGCTTGGCCCCTTAGTTCCAGTGAAGGGAATTTTAGACAATTTCATGCTCTCAACTTTGTGGGAACAGTTTAGGTTAGTTCACTATTTTAGAAAAGAAGAACAAGTGAACTATCACCGTACACTCTCCACATCTCCCAGTCCCCACTGTACTTACCTCTGTGGGTGATGAGCCATCAGTGCTCACACATACAGTGCAACAGTGCAGCAGTCCAGGGATTTAAAATCCCCACTTTTCTCCACCTTCTATTTGCAGCGCTTTTGGGATGGATCAGGATTATTCTGATTGGTCAGAGCCAGCACAGAGCATTACTCTGATCCATCCCAGAAACACTGCAAAAAGAAGAGCGAGAATAGTGCGGATTTCAAATCCCGGGACTGCTTCACTGGCTGTGTGAGCACTGATGGCTCATCACCCACAGAGGTAAGTACAGTGAGGATTGGGAGGTGTGGAGATTGTACGGTGATAGTTCACCTTCTTCTCTAAAAAAGTGAACTAACCCTTAAAGTGATACTAAACCCCGGACCCTGCATTCACTATATCTGGTCTCCCCGATCCATTATGCTTCCCAATCCGCAGATCCGATCCATCCTGCGGGGATCATCCTCATGCAACCTATACGGGGTGACACCAGACCCACTCCACGAAAAGGTAAATTGTAAAGAAAGCCGACGATCCCCGCAGGATGGATCCGATCCATCCTGCGGGGATTGTCGGCTTGCTTTACAACTTACCTTTCTGTGCGGGTCTGGTGTCACCCCGTGCGGTCGGTGTCACCCGATGCGGAGCGCAACCCCCGCACCTGCCTCGGGACACCACTGGGGTTTCATATGATTTGCTCTCCCACATTTATGATACAACACAAGAGGAAATTGTGAGTCCTGCATTCCAATCAGCCATGACACTACAAACTGCAGCCACAACATAATTACAAAGTAAAGCAAACAACACAGGGAATATAACTACAATAACACCTTCATAAAACAAGGAAAACATGTAAAAGTGTACAATGCCTTCAGGTACTGATACTGAAAGGGGCAGGGCATTAGACCTGATTGTTCTCCTCTGTAATTAAGGCAGGCCATAGATGATGCAAATTTCTTGCTTGCAACCATGGTGTTCCATCCTGCAACCATTGTGTTCTCCTGGTGGGGGGGAAGCCATCCCTGCTGGGAGAAGACAGTGATTATTGCTAGAGGCTAGAACAGCCGCTAGCGATAATTGAATGTAAAATTCAGCAGGCTGGTGGTACCCAAGTTGATCGAAGTTGGGTACATTCCACCTGCCCATACATGTGAGCCAGTTCTCAACCAGTTGAGATTCGAACCGTCTATGGCCAGCGTAAGTGACACGTACAGGCAGGGGCGGACTGACCATTTGGAAACTCGGGCACTGCCCGAGGGCCCGGGGTCAGTAGGGGGGATTCAGATATACTGTAGCTGTTGCTCTCAATTCGACAGCCATGAGGGTGCAACTCCTTGAATGCACACTTTTTGTTTGAGGACACACACCTGAATGGTTGTCAAATTGGGACCGGTGGCAGTGTCTGTACAGCCCAGGGTCGGACTGACCATTTGGAAACTCGGGCACTGCCCGAGGGCCCGGGGTCAGTAGGGGGCCCCATGAGAAGCCCTTGGTACCTTTTTCATAGGCTTATTTGAGTTTGGGCAAGGACACAGGGGCCCCATGATCCCCTATTGCCAGGGGGCCCCATGAGTAGTCAGTCTGCCCCTGCGTACAGGTCTTGTCCCTTTCCCAGCTTGTGATTGGACAGTGAAGGAGAAGACACATTTCATGGTTACATTTCACCCAAAATGTGTGGCCAACTTGGCTACCAAAGTTTCTTGCTTGAACTGACCCTGATCACTCACCAGACTCCGATGGTCACCCCTTCGTCAGATGTGAGGTAGAAATTTGTGGTGTGGTTCAAGAGTTCTCCAGGATTCTTAAAGTCCACAAAGAGAGGAACTTTTACTAGAAAAAGAATTTGCAAAAAATTAATTTCAAAAACATAGGAGAAGCAGAACCTAAAGGGCCCCAAAAATGGACATGACCAGCTGTTTGATAAGACAATTCGTACATCTGGTACTCACCCATGTTTAAATAAACAACTTTGCCTAGTATTGCAGGGAACAGCCTGATGATGAAAGGGACGCATATATAAATGACGATAAGGGCCACACCAAACCTTTTTAGGTAGAGCAACCAATTTGTTAGGCTGGAAGGAAAGAAAAAACATTTATCATGACTACTGTGAAAAAAAAAATACATTTTAATACTATAGATAGAAAAATATTTAGGTTGGTAGAGGAAGGAGTTCATTATACATACATGTAGCACCCTCTTAGAGTAGTGTAGGTTGTTAGGTAAATTTAGTTGGATCCTCTGTAATCAGTGGAGCTGGGGCTGATAGGTCAGGTCTGCTCAGTGTCTCACAGGCTGTTGCTCTGATTGCTTCCCCCTGTATTCTAGAGGATTTTAGAACTGTAATGGGAGGAATAACAGCATAACATGCAGGGCCAACATCCTGATTATTTATGGGACTTCAGCCAATCCCTGGGGAGATGTGCCCAGTAAGTGGTTGGGGAGCCCATAATTAGCCTGGGACCTGAGACAAGAAGGGCAGAGATCCTAGGTCCAGTTCTGCTGGAGGAGACCCCTGTGCAGGGGTATTGCCCCTGAGGCAGGAAGCTTGGAGGTGCCACTAGGAAGACATTGAGGTCCCAGCTAAGCCTTAGCTAGGAGGCATATTCATAAGCTCAGTCTGGAATCATTTTAGGTCTGGAGAAGCTCACTATAGAGTGCAAGGAGGAAGTTGGGAGAACATGTCCTAAGGTATGGTATGGTATGAATCTCCCTCACTGAGGAGTGCCTGGTGGATATCGGAAGGAGGCAACTGACGATCTTGTGGCCATGTTAGTAGATAAACCAAATGCTGGAAAGTTAGTGACTGTGTGTAGCTTTTGGTCTCTGGGAGATGTTATAGTCAATGTCACCAATAAAGATTCTGTGGGATATTTTTGTAGAGCTCTGCGAGCTAGAGCGGAGTCCTCAAAGTGCTCAGTTCATCAATTTTTGGGTATCCCATACTCCCTTACACCATCCAAATTCAATAAAACCCTAAAAAAAAGACACCCCCAGTCTGTTCCTTCAAGCCAGTGGAAGTGGAGAACATGCTGTGTGCCTGGCCATGTGCTTTGACTGGGGAAAAAGGAAACATGTTCACCAGTTGCTCTTTATGGGGTGCGCTACATACACATGAATTCAATCTGATCTCTTGTCCATGGGAGGGAGGGTCCCAACTATTTTGGCTGGCCTTATTAGTAGGAACAGTTTATTGAACCGGTTAAAAATTCCTGTTGGGTTCACTATTGTTTGCCCCAATAAACTAGGGCTGGCCTTTTGTCCTTGGCTCCCCACTCCCATAAAGAGTGTAGAAAGGACAAGAGTGCCATAAATATAATGTGCGATGTGTATACAGGGGCGGACAGACAACTCATGGGGCCCTCGGGCAATAGGGGATCATGGGGCCCCTGTGTCCTTGCCCAAACTCAAAAAAGCCTATGAAAAAGGTACCAGGGGCATCTCATGGGGCCATCTACTGACCCTGGGCCCTCGGGCATTGCCCGAGTTTCCAAATGGTCAGTCCGCCTCTGTGTGTATATGATAGCATTTGGACCAATACAAATGAAAATCCTACTGGAAATACCATAAGGTGCTTTTTCCTTCAAAAAAAGCCAAGCTGTGATGAAAATACAGTATGGTAGGCTCCTGTTCTGATCCTAGGCTTCTACCTCTCTGATATCGACAGCACTTACCAGACGTTAAATTCTTTAATGTGTATGGAGTGCCTGGTACAAAAGTTCATCTCACTTAATGGACTTTTTGGATGCCATTTTTTTTGTCGCCAGGAGATGCTAATCTTCATCAAGCCTTAACACAAGTCCCCTAGCGCACTCTGTCATGACTCTGTTACTATCTACTGTTCAAGCCATAAAGAGGGAGGAGGCTTTTTTCCCCGAAAAACACATTGGCTGTATTTGATGCTTCTAACCATTAAATCTTTTAAAAAAGTCCTTTAAGTGAGATGAACTTTTGTACCAGGCGCTCCTCCATCTACAAATCTAATTTGAATACAGTAGGTCATTGGAGAAAGCCAACATATTTCGAGGGCTCAACTCTCCCCGCCCCCTTCATCAGCGCTTAAAATCTGGCAATAATTGAAGAGAATATAGAAGTAAAGTGGTTGTACTGATTTAACTCCCCAGACCAGACCAGTGACTCTAATCATCATGACCTCTACCTTACTGCATCCCAATTTGTTGTCCAGTATTCTCTTCAATTACTGACAGCATTTAAGCCCTAAAGGGGAAGCTTTGAAACCCTGAAACACGTAGGCTTTTGCTTCTCAACTCTTACGCAATAAAGACTTACTGGACTAACATCGGATCTATGATGTTCTCGTCCTTTCTACACTCTTCAGACTATTCTGTGGATCCTCACAAATACCCAGGTTGAGAGAGAGCTGCCTAAAAAATTGGATTTCAAGCTCTGTCTTTTCTACTTTTGAGTCCAGTTCTTGACCAACACATTTATTGTCTCTTTAAAAGTCTGACATAGATGTAGCACCTTCTTAGTGCAGCCAAGGGGAGCTAAACCCTAATGGTTAGTCAGAAGCTGGTTAGCAGCTCAGGTGTGATAGCAAGAGGTGTCAAATTGTGGTCAGGGCTGAAATACTCTGCAGACCAGCCCCTCTGGAATGTCCCCCTGTTCTAAGGATTTCAGAGAAGTGGTTGGCTGTACTCTTGAGGGGCCAATCCCCAACAGAAGGATTGACAAGGGGCTGGGACTCCCTTAAAAGTGAAAGAGCCTGCTCAGCAGGAGGAGTGTGATATGAGGCTGGAGGAGGAAGGCTGCCAGCAGGCCTAGTGGGATGGGGCCTGCCTTTGAGCCTAGAGCTGGAAAAGGAGGAAAACTCGGGACTCACTGGCCCTCTGAGACAGGACCACCTGTATGGCAGGGATGGAGCAGCCCAGCTGATTGGACTGGTAGCAGAAGCAGCCAACATGCAGCGGTACTCTGAGTGAGTATACCTGCACTCCCTGGGTGGATAGAGGAAGGAGCACACTGGTAGATTAGCTACTATTTATGACTGTTCACTTCATTTAAAAGGAGAAGGAGCCAGATCCCCTGCTCAGGAAAAAGTCTTCAGATTGCTTGGTGAAGAGGAGTTCATCTAGGATCTGGGGTGGTTCAGCTAGGAGATGTTGGGTAGCACTCCAACAGAGACTGTGTTGCTTCAAGAAGGAAAGGTTGTGAATAGTTTAGGAAGTTGTCCTCAGTTATAGGTTCCCTTAGGCATCCTATACCCCCCCCTTACCCTATCAAAAAGTTCTAATCCCCGCAATAAATAAAAAAACCAATGCTCAAGACTTGATTTCTGTCTCTGGATGAAAGCTTGTGTGGAAAATGCTGAATGACTGGCAGTGTAGGACTACAGGAGGACCCAAATTATCAGCAATCCCTAAGGGGGTAGTGCTATATAGACGTACCTGGCACCCTCACCTGCTGTACATACTCATCATCCCCTTACTCCTCTTCCATTCCATTTGACCAGCAGGAACAATGTGAAACAGCTGGTATTTCCATGTACAGGATAGCATGGGACGTACTCCCCTTCTTCCCATGTGGCAGCACCGGTACTTGAGTAACTGGCTGCCCAACAGTTAGTACTGTCACAGAGTCCTCATCCCAATAATATGCTCCACATCATGACAGTCTTCATTCAGGCTTCAAATGCTGTATGCTTGTTCTGGGCCAGTGACTCAAAAATATATTGAAGCCAGACACAGCCAGAAAGAGGATAATATTAGCACCTATTATTCTCTGCGGGTGAATTTTTTCTTTTTTTTTGGCGGAGCAGGGAAGCCAATAAACCTAATATTTATATAGATTAGCAGACAGACTATAGTCAGTTTTGTATCGATGTCTGGGTTGTTGGGAAAACCAAACAAGCAGCGATAAAATACATAATTAACTGCTAATTAACTATAAGAACATGCTTTATCAGCACCAAGCCCAGAAGAAGTTCAGAATCATTAGTATTTAGGAATGGGACACATTGGGGGGATCTGATGAGAGGTGCATCCTCCTATAATGTCATTAAAAAAAAAAAAAAAAATATATATATATATATATATATATATATATATATATAATAGGACTGCTGGGGAAAATCTGGACAGTTTTTCTTTCAGACACTTTAGATCATGAGATTGGTCACATGGTGGCCGACTGTATCTGTAGGCAATTTTGTTATGGTGTGCTGAGTATACATGTAGTCATGCGAGGACACAAATCAGTGTGCACATACACAAGGGTTACACAAGGGTGCTGCCCTGTAATTCCATAAAATAGTACAGGTGTCTTTTTTTGTAAGTTGAAGTATGTCAACAGACCATTTAAAATGAATAGGCTACCTTGACCCAATGTGCTGCACAATGGTGTCTCCATTGGAAGACTGGATTTCCCATTACCTTTCAATGGTCACCAGGACAAATCAAGCGGGTGAAGGACTGGAATCCGAATTGGTGGCTGTGGGGAACAGGCACCAGAGGGTGTCCAACACAGGGTGCAAATTGTTTTTTTATTTTGACAACAGGTTTACTGTAACCCCAGCCTAACCATTAGCCCAAAGCTGCCATTTTAACAGAACAGTCATACTTTGGGTTACACTTTTCGTCAAAGTAATTGTAGACATACTGTAGAATGGCCGTTGTGATCGGTTGCAAGGAGATAAGATTGAAAATACCCCCATCAAACATTCAACTGAGTCTGTGAAATTGGCATAGTTTTTTCCTGTTTCAATTTCATCTCAATTTGATGGAAATGGTCTAACTATTGGCCTTGACACAATGTGCACTATAATAG